TGCAGAAGCCAAAGGTTATGGGAAATATTTATGAGCATGAACATCATGTTCATGTTCATACACAATTTAAATTGTAATTTTTAGAGACTTGTCGAGTGTTTTACATACATAGTCCCATATCAAAAACATCTAAAATGAATATTAATTATTTTAATCAAAATAAAAGATTATTCAAAGTATGGACATATACTGGTCAATATAACAATTGTGAAGTATATTTATTTATATAATATTTTATATTTAAATATTGTCAATATATTGTGCTATAGATATGGATATATATGCATATAGAAATATTTAATTTTTTTGTGTAATAATTCCAAGTATCAAGCGCTCAAAACGTTTTAAAAAAGATCCTTGGCATTAATTGATCACAGATATAAATATATATAAATATATATATCGAATGCAGTTAGCTGGTACTTTAAATTTACTGCAATTTTGTTTTTTGTGTTTGGTGCCAAAGTGAGAGATTGGCAGCGTGCCGTTAGAATCTAATGAGTGTGTCGATGCTTGCCGAATGGCGCCTCAAAGTAGGCAATAAAAAGCAGCTTCAAAGCATCAATGCTTGAATTACGTGCGCTCGTAAATCTGAAGCGGAATGCGCGTCATAGCAACTACACACACACACACCCACACACACATACAAACATATACATAGGAAAGCAGCAGCCATCCCTTAATCAACCAGCAACAGTGGGAAAATGTTTGCCGATTGAACCTTTGACTAACACATGATAAAGAAGCAGCAGCCGAAAACAAGAGCAACAACAACAACAGCAACTGAATGCATATGGGGGGTGGGGGGATTCTTACATGTGGGGTGCTGCTGGGTGATGCGGTGCGGTGCTTAAGGGTTGTCAGCTTCGATTCGGATGTGCCTGGCAACACCAAAACACTCCACTATTAATGCCGTTTCTGTCGAAGGGAAACCCGGCTAAAAGTGCCCCATAGAAATTTCATTTTCATTTTTGCAGGTGAGAGTCGAAAAATTGCGAACACACAGAGACAGAGAGAGAGAGAGAGAGAGAGAGAGAGAGAGAGAGAAATAGAGAGAGAGAGGAAGAGTGAGTGCGAGCGGATGTGAGAGAGAGCATGCGCTGCTCAGCTGTGTGTGGCATGGTTTGGACATTTGGGCTGTTGGGTGGACATTTCATTTGTTTTGTTGCGAGGGGTTGCTGCAAAAATGGTTTTCGCAGCCGGAGACGCTACGGCCACGAAGCCACCAACAGCATCCAGTTGGAAAATGTACGCGCAGTCAAACGCATCGGAAAGCGCGTATCAAGCGAAAGCAATATAGAAAACGAATCCCCGTGTTAATAAAAAAACACACAAAAAAATAATAAGAACTCCACACATATACAAATACACACACACTCACTCACACACACATACAAATGAGTCGCGTGCTGCCCTTGTCCACTGCCCCCCACCCACTGTGCGTTGCGATATCGAAAAGAGCATAGAATTTGCCAAAAAAAAAAATAAAAAAATTACGAAAAGAAAAGAAAAAAACGAAATACGAAAGTAAAAAGAAAAAGAAAAGAAAGTCAAAGCAAAGGAATCAATTTCTTTCGGCTTTTTGTTAATTGAAGCTAATTAGCTGTTAAAAAGCTCTCAACGAGTTTCGGGCACGTGAAATATTCAACGCAACCTTAAAGTGAATCAAGTGAAAAGTAAATATGAAGCTTAAAGTTCGCGTGGTCAGAGCCAAACGCCAATCAAGTCCAAATGCCAGCCATATGAATAAATGACTTTGACTTTTGGTTTAATAGACGCGTCACTTGCATTGATTAATTGTTGATGTTTTGACCTTTCACCAGCCACCAGCAACAAGCCAAAGCAAATGCTGCCTATAACAAATACACTTTACCCTATAAATGGCCACGGAGTTGGGCGACTCGAATTCATTTTTAGAGTGTCCAACAACTAACCAATAAAGTAGCCGCTGCACTGAGCCCTCCACTCACAAATCAGTCAAGTGGCAAGCAAAAGCGAAAAAAAAAGTAGAAAACCAGCTGAAGAAAAAGCCAGTTCGTAAAATACAAAGCAAAAGCAAAGGCAAAAAAAAAAACAAGAAAAAGAGAATAGGACTGGAAAGCGCACTATTGACATATATACGCGCATTCAGAAAGCACTCAGAAACGCGCTCGTTTTTTGCTCGCTGAAAGAAACGCCGCATAATCAAAGCTAAGACAAAACAGGAAATTCACTTATACACTCGCCGAACTCACACTCACACGCACGCACACACACACACACACACACAGCGGACAAATGTGTGTGAGGAAATGCGAGCTGTTGAGCTTTACGTTTTCAAAACACAGATTCCAATCGAGAGCGAATGCAGTCTCTCTCTCTCTCTCGCGCGCTCGCTCTTTTTCTCTCTTGTGCGCTCTCTTGCATTCGCTCTCTGCTTACATTCCAGTTGACACTTACTCCCTCATTCTCACTCTCTTCTGCCGTCTCTCTTGCATTACGAGAGAGCGCACGCTGCGTAGGCGCTAAACTTTTGATGCTGAAGCACAACAACAATGCCTCGATAATGATATGTATGAGAATGTAAACAAATGCAGAACGCGTCTAAACAATACAATTATTATTAATGTATTAACATGCACTGCTACCTCTGCCACCTTGTGCACTCAGGTCAGAGCACAGCCAGCAATGGTTACAAGGCTCTATTTATATGCATATATACATATATATATATATAACAACGGCATTACACATTGTTATTGTCAGGCATTAAATTACGGATTCAGTAATTATAAAGGCAAAAACAGTTTATGTTGTTTACAAAGGGCGTATGCGTGATATGTGAACATAAGAATAGCTATAAATAGAAAATATTATAATTAATAGTTATAGGATGTGAGATAATATATACATATATATATATATATACATATATATAGCTGTAACTAATAAAAAAAAGTTTAGTCTCAATAAAATCGAAAGCATTAAACCAGATAAGGGCATTCCCAGGTTTTTTCCTCTTTTTGCTTTTCACGCGGCAACCTGTAGAATCTAATCTATAAAGTATCATAAAATTCAGCGAACTCGTGCCATCTAATATATACTAAATATACTTGCTTTAACTCTTATCAGCAGATAAGGAAAAATGTGCATTCGATAGAGTGAAAAATAGATGAGTAATATTTTTTGCATTAACTTCGGCCGAAGACAGATGTCAATTTTAAATATTTAAAACCCACTTTACTTTTTACCCCAAAACGGAAAGGAATCAAGCATATCATATTTTTTTTATTAACCGCAAGAAATTCGCTAAGGATGCTCAACTTCAGCGTGAAGTGCTGCTCGAAAGCAGACACAGACACACACACACACACGCACACACACAAACACACACACACAAATATACACCCACTGACTGGTGGTATAAAAGTCGACAAAGCATCCACAACAATTTTTGGGGGTTGAATTTTTGGGCGTTGAAAGCGCTTTTCACTAATTCAATGCGACATTGAAATTGCGAGCAGCGAAAAACTGCAGACGCAGACATGAAAATGGGAATGGAAATGGAAATGGAAAATGACTAGACGAAACGCCGGCTGGTGAGCAGCGGCAATGTCGAGACCGGAAGGGCGGCAGCTTTTGGCGCCTGAGCAAAAAAAAAAGAAAGCGAAACATAAAAACAGAAATCAAGAATCCGCTTGAGGGAGAGTTTGTGCTCTCATCTTTTTTGCTTTCTTTATGCTTTTGCCGGAGGAGTGGGGGCGGAGAGGGAGGCATAAATTACGATTATTTGTACATCAGATTATCAAGTCGACGCTTCGATGAGAGAGAGAGAGAGCGGGGGAGGGAGAGCGTTTTTCGGCTCAGTCAATAACCATTTATTTACCTACTGCGGCAAAATGTAAGAATCCAGACTGTTTAGGCTAACAAATTGAAAGTTGGCTTCATAAATGTGGCTAGTACATAAAATATGTATAAGGGCGCACACGTGGCTTGGCTGGAACGGACCAGAGAAAAGGGTTCAAAATTGTCCAGCAATCAGTTTGTGGCGCATATAAAATTCTGATTTCATTTCTAATACCCAATTGAACGAAAATAGCTGAGCATTTACTCGACCTAAGGTGCGGCATATGTTGCATTTTAGCCTTGTACATATTTATATAATTGAAACAAAACGCGGCGTTTTAGCAACGCAGTCAAGTTAACGTATTGGCCGGAAGACAAAGAGATATCGGCCCCGTTAAGATTTCGGTCGTTGGCGGTGGTCGAAAAGGTTCGAAAATTTGGCGGCGCGAGCGTATCGAAATGACAAATGATCCGGATTTAGATGATTGTGCATTTCTATCAGGTAAATCAACTTAGGTTTACAGCTATCAAATCCCAACCAATCAACAAAAATTCTTAAGAAAAATTCGAAAATTCTGAGCATAATCTAAAACATGTCTTAATACAATACTAATAATATTAATACTTAATACTCAACAGATATTCTTATGTGAAGTACATATACCATTATATTATAACTTCAACTTCTCTATAAAATCTTATGATATCAGCTGAGCTTAAGTTGATATCAGAATTTGTGCAGGAAAATCTTAACTTATTAAAAATATGTTTAGTTGTCAAAATATGAATTCGTTCTGCAGGATTTTGAATTTATTAAGTACAATTAGATAAACCATCTCTTGATATACAAAATATCTCAGTTTTAAGATGGCAGCTGTTTTAGAATGAGGAAAATTACACTCAAATCAAACCTAAAATTTAATTTGTTAAAATATGAATTTATTTTTAAGGATGTCGAATTCAATTAAGTACCAGAAGTGCTATTCATTTTTTGCGAGTGCACTTCAATTGCAGTTGCGAGACAAGTACAAACAATTGACATTGAAATATTTACATAATTTAATATGACTTTTTTCTCACTCTCTTTTTCTCTCCCTCTCTCTCTCTTTCTCTCGCTCTGTTCCTGTTCTGCGGCATGACTCACTCCTATCGGTGACTTTAATTACATTTGCCAGGTGGCGAATCGAGCGGTGGTCGCCAGACGCGAACAGGAGTCGCTGTCTGCTCGCAGAGACGCGCCCTCCTCGTTGCCGGCATCGTCCTTGGCTCCCTGCTGCTGACGGCCATTATCATTGCCTACGCTGGACCGCAAAATGGTAGGTTGCACTGTGTCTATTTGTATTTCGGTTGCAATTCTTTGCTTTTCCATTTTTTATTTTTTATTTGTTTTTGCTTTTCTTTTGTTGTTGTTTCAATTCATAGCCAAAACAACAAAGACAACATGGCATTGAGGGAGTCGCATTTTGTATGTAACTCACAGTTCATCCTGTTGACGGATATGTTCTGTAGTTGACAGCACAGGGTAACAGTTGTGACATGCTTGTGGATACAAGTCATAACTACTCCTTACATTCAGAGAAACAAAAATCACACTGAATATTTTAGAAAATCGCCATACTTTTGGCGTCAAGGTTGACTCAATTTATTATTTGGAAAGTATATTTCTGAAACGAGAGATTGTCTCTTTCTAAAAACCAATGTCTGTTTCTCTTAAATCGAAAATTTAATTGCTATAATATAATTACAATATGTATGATTAAAGATTGCAGCAACACAAGTAGCTTGAAACTTATACAAATTGAATGATTATCATGAGGAAAATTTAAAATTAATTAGAAAAAAACGCCTTATGTTGTCGTAATATGCAATGTTTTCATGAAGTGAAATTGTTTTTACTACTTGCTGCAAGCAACTGCAACACATTAAGTTGATGAAGGTTATAGTTATACTCAGAGACAGAGTAGCTGTCCTTCCATATCCATATCCATATCCATATGCAATATGCTCTGCTGGTTGGTTCGTCTGTTGTAATGTGCTTTTAATAGTATTACCACAAACCAAATACCATCATAATAGTCTGGCCATATATGCTGCTTACCAGCTGTCTGACTGGACGCGGGGGCGTGCCTTTATGGCAAGTTGCATGTTACAAGAGGAGCTGGGCATGTGACTCACTTCAATAAGGATGGATGGGTTGGGGATATGCACGGGGCTCGTGTATATTTCATTGCAGAATGTATGCAGAGTACAAACATACACATTAACTTTCTGTTGCATACCTAATGGGGCTAGATGCATCGAAGGCTAATTGCATTACGCAGCCAAAGCGTCAGACATGCGGGCATGGCTGTGTGTGTGTGTGTGTATGGGTGCGTGTGTGTGTGTGTGTGTGCAAAGAACAACATTGTGTGGCCAGACCACATAAAACTGGCATGTCAATTTAATGTCTTTTGCTCACATTAATTGATTGCCTCTGAGCAGCTTGCAACACGCTAAAAAAGGCCATGATTTTATTACGTAGCCATTCACAATTGATACATAAATATCCATAAACATATATATATTTTTTGTATTATCGATTTAATATATACCTACTCTTAAGTCTACGCTATATATATATATATAAATATGTATACATAATTTGTTTACCGATATTCTTTTTTTTTATATATTGTTGTTTCTTTGTTTTTTTTCTGTAAAACAAAAATATTATGAACATACTTTATGAACAAATTTCTCTTAAATGCTTGTTTGATTGGTAAAAATGTGAGTAACAAATTTTCCAACCCACTTCTTCTAACCGGTAAATAACACTCCAAAATCTACATATATATACTATATATATTTACGATATTATCTGTCGGCATGCTGCTGTCAATCATTTGTTGTACTTATATACTACTCTTTCTAAATATTCCACTCCCCTAGTGCATTTGATTTGCCATTATATAAATTTTCCATTTATTTATAATTTAAATAACTCTCTCTCTCTCTGTCTTGATGTTCTAATGCGCGAAATACTAAATTCAAATAGTTCTCAAAACTATCATCATTTGCTTGTTTTATGTGTAGTGCTTTCTTTTTGAAAAACTTTACGTATTGGATCAATGAAATCGTTAATCCATCTTTTAAATTTTAGATAGCGAATCTCTATGAAAATACATATATACATTTAAGCATTCAAAAGAGAATACAACAACTTTATGATTGCCACGATTATAAAACTATATTTAGAATGTTTTTGACTTTTGACTAATATCATTCGACATCATCATTTAACAATCGAAGCAGAAGAAATGATAATGACAAAGTACTTAAATTAAATCGTTTACTATACGCCAATCATTCCTATTCCTTTAAGGAATATGTTCCTTTCAGATTTAGTTAGTTTATATATTAATCAACATACATTTCCAGCAAATTGAAATAGTTTTAAATTGTTTAAAAACTAGTCAAAAGTATTTCAACCAATTCTCAGTAGAATAATTTTTTAAATGACGAAAAAAAATATTGACTTCATAAAAAATATCGCATAATTATTGGAATTCATGGATAATTAGTTTTTCTAATCATACGTCAAAACTTGATAACCATCAAAATCTTCTTTCAATTCATGCGCCAGACTAGTTTAAGTATTTCTCCTACTTTTTAAAGTTGTATATCTCTTTGTTCTCAATTGTTTTCTTTTTTTTATTCTGTGTGATTTTACCCCTTAGATATGGTAGCGAACCTAGACAAACCCACTCCACAGTCTACCGATTTTATGCCAGCATTTTATAATTTTCTACCCTTTAAAAGATAAAAAACAAATTTGAGCTTTTCCCCTAGCGTTTCTACCCGATACCCTCCCTTTTAAGTTTCGTTCTCTTTGTTAATCGTGTAAAACGCAGTTGATTAACAAAGCAGCACATTTATGTGCTTAGACACAAACTCCCCCCAGAGCCCCATAACAAGAGCCCAAACCAATCTGTATCTCAACGTTGCATTTGTGTGTTTGGCCTTTGCAGACTGTTCGTGTGCGTCAAAAACGTCGACTGACTATGAAACGGATGAAGAAAACAACACACAGCCCTTCAATCCGATTGCAACGAACGGGGAACCCTTTCCCTGGCTGGAGAAGACGCTACCGAGCAGTGCGAGACCCATGCGCTACATGGTGACAATACACCCCAATCTAACAACACTGGACGTAAAAGGTGAGACATCACATCAAATCCCATCAGAATTCCCATCGGCTAATGCAATTTTCCGGTAGGTCAAGTAACCATCGATCTGTACATCGAGAAGGAAACCAACTTTATTGTGTTGCACATTCAGGATCTGAATGTAACGGAAAAGGTGAGTTTGTTCAATGCCAATTAATGGACTCTTAGCTAATTGAATTACTTTGCACAGGCGCTGGTTACGCCCGGTCCCAAGGGTTATGCCTTGAAGATAGTCAAGGTATTGGAATTTCCGCCACGCCAGCAATTGTACATTGAGGTTAAAGAGAAGCTGAAGAAGAAATCCAATTATACGTTGAATTTGCGCTGGTATTCCAAATTGAATCCCGAACCAGAGGGTTTCTATGTGGATCAGTATGAGAGCTTCAATGGCCGGGAACGGTAAGACTTGAACTCTGATTAAAAGCATTACACACACACACACATCAAATTATAATCCTACATCCCTTGCAGCCTGCTGGCCGCCACAGTCTTCAGGCCGAATGGTGCTCGTCGTGCCTTTCCCTGTTTCGATGAGCCACACATTCGTGCCCCCTTTCGTGTCTCCGTGTTTCGTGATCGCTTCCACATAGGTCTTTCCAACTCCATTGTGCATACCACAGAGGATGTGGGCTTTTATATGGGCACTGGACTGGTAAGCAGAAAACTATAACAAAATTATACTATTAACTTTTAATGGAAAGAAAAGTAAAATAAACTTAAAAGTGAAGAAAGCGTTTCAATGGTCTTCTTACAATATCAATTATGGATTCCAAAAGTGAAACTTAATTTAAATAATCTTGTCTCTTTGAAAACTTGGGAAAAAATGTAAGAAACAAAAAAAAATATTGAAAAAATTAAAAGCAAAAAAATCTTTAATTAATAATGAATTATGGAAAGTGTTTTTATTGTCCGCCACCAACACACTTTTAAGTCCATAATTTTTTTGTTATTCATTTAAAAGCGGCACGAAAACGATACTAAAAATGCACTTGCTTGCCAAAAAGGAATATTAACTAAATTAAAGAACGCATTTTTAACGGTGTACTAATGTATTTGATATCCGTTCTTTCATAGCTACGCGATGACTTTATTGAGACACCACCACTGCCCGCCGATGCCGTTGCCTGGGTGGTTAGCGATTTCCAGCGGGAATCGCTGCAGCCCTCTGCTGCATACATACCAACAACAATGGCGCCAGCCACCGCTGGCAGTGGCAAGAAGCCATCCCAGCTAAGCAACTACAGCCAAATGAAGAGCAAGAATCCACCGGTGCGGAATATCACTGCCCTGACGCACTCGCTCAATGTGAATCTGACGCCCTTCCAGAATGTCAGCACCACGACGACAACAGTACTGCCCCTAATTATCAATGGCAATGGGAAACCCTCCAATCTCACCTCGTTATCACAGTCGACCAGCTCCTCGATAAAAAGAGCACCCTCGTACACCTTCTATGCGCCCAGAGATTTACTGCAACGCTCCTCGTTTATACTGCACACGTCGCGGGATGTTTTAGAATATCTGCAGAATTGGCTGGACATCAGTTATCCGTTGACCAAGGTCGATTTTGTGGCACTGCCTTCACTGGATCGCAATATGATATCGTCATTGGGTTTGGTCACACTGAAGACATCTTTCCTTACCGATCCCAATTCGATTACCTCGGAGCAGAATCAGTACAGTGCTCTTCGCATTGCCGAGGCAATGGTGCGTCAGTTCTTTGGTGGCATCACCTCGAGGAAGGTGCTCAAGGATGTGTGGTTGTGGGAGGGTCTCATTCAGTATCTGGGCATCCATGCACTGGCTCCCCTTCAAAATAGTTGGCCACTGCGTGAGATGTATCTGCTAAAGATGGCCACGGCTGCCTTGGATATCGATGCCATTCAGGGCTGGGATAGTATAATGAACGGCACCCGGCACGATGGCAACAACGAGGAGTTCTTTGTGCAGAAAACGGCTGCCATTTTCTCCATGTTGCACACGGCTATCGGGGAGGATCGCTTTCGAGGCTGTTTGGGCACGTTCCTCAAGCTGAATCGTTTTAGGACCGCCGAGCCAACGGATCTGTGGACCATATGCACCAAGAAGGCGAATGGCTCCAAGAATATCAAGGACATGATGACATTGTGGACACATCAGCCGGGCTTTCCACTGCTCACCGTTACCAAATTGGGCAACAGCATTTCCATATCGCAGCGACCCTTTAAGCCCGCTGAGTTTCTGGCCATACACGATGACTCCTACGATGGCAACAACTACAACAAGACAACGGTGAATGCCACCGATATGCCCAGCACTGTGGCACCCACACAGGCCAGCAAGCACAAGAACGTGCCACATCTCAAGTGGATCTTCCCCGTCACCTATGTGACGGACATCAATAACGTCAGTGAAACCCTCTGGATGCAGAATGTCGATGGTGAGTGGCAGGCACAACAAATTGACTCAACATATCAATTTCTCTCGAACAACTTTCTCCATTTCAGTAACCTTCAATGTGCCGGAGAATGTGAAGTGGATCAAAGTGAATGCCATACAGAATGGCTATTATCGCGTTGTCTACAACGATGACAACTGGGCTGGTCTCATCGAGGAGCTGTCCATTAATCCCAGACGTTTCAGCAGCGAGGTCTGTACACATTTTAAGCAACTACTTTTAAGTCCTTGACTAATCAAAGTGATCCATGCAGGATCGTCTTGGCTTGCTATCGGATGCATTTACCCTGTGCCACGCCAATCTGTTGCCCTGTGAGATCACAATGAACATGATTCAATATTTGCCAAGTGAGACGCATTATGGTCCCATGGCATTGGCTGTACGGCATTTGGAGAAGTGGCGTCGCATCCTCAAGTATTCCGAGTGTTTCCTCATGCTCAGCGAGTTTATCAAAATGAAAATATCCACGGTTATGGAAAAGGTTGGCTGGATCGATGAGGGCGATGTGGCAACCAGGTGAGTTGGAATCAATATATATTTAAGCCAAATACTACTTACACCTTTCGATAGACTCATGCGACCTGAGGTGCTGCTGTCCTCGGTGCTGTGGGAGGATATTGACAGCATCACCAAGGCGAAGAATATGTTGAATCAATATTTGTATTACAATGGATCCGGCATATCGCCCAATTTGCGAGAGGTAAGCCGCATTAACTGGTTCCGTGGATTTTCCCTTTCAAAATAACATTCCATTTTAGGTGGTCTACACGGGCTCCATATTATCCGGTGAGTACATCTATTGGCAGCACTGCTGGGAACGCTTTGTGACGCTGCAGCGCACCTCGGAGACATTTGTGGAGCGGATGCAACTGTTGCGGGCATTGGGACGGACCAAGGATGCCTGGCTGCAGAATCGCCTGCTCTCACATGTCACAATGCTGCCCACCGAGGAGGTGGTGCAGGTGCTCAAGGCCATTGCGGGCACGCCCACCGGCGGGGCGATGGCCTGCCGCTTTCTGCAGGCCAAATGGTTTGAGCTGGAGAAGCGCCTGGGACCGGGCACCATTAGCTTTGCCAAAGTGATATCGGCCATAACACAATATGGCGCCACGAAATTCGATTACGATGAGGTAAGACCGAGATCCAAACCACAAACAACGCGAGAGAACATTGCATTCGGACTTAACCGACTGCGAAATACTCTGATACCAATGTAATACTCTGATTTATTTTAACCATATACATATAGGTGTTACTAGCAATTCAGCTCAAAAATTTGAAGACTCTAGCTTTCGAACTGTGCAAGACTATCGTTTTTATCGATTTATACGTACAGATTTATCGATTTTTTGTGTCGATAATTGACAGTCGCCGCTCAAAAACTGTGGAATATATACATATTTGAGATTCTTAGACATCGCCAATAATCCGCCAAGCAAGATTGGTGACTGTAGCTTTAAAATTCTGGGTTATGTAGTCTTATCGATTGAAAATTATCGATTTCCTTGTAGCACCTCGATTTAAACAATTCCGTTGACATTCCATGTTTCAAGTATATAATCAGGGTATCAGAGTATATTATCAATAAGATCTATTTCATTATCGAAATCTATAATCAAGTGAATATTATATTTCCCCAGCTGAAATCCTTGGTACACCGTTTCGGGCGTGGCCAGGGAATGTCTGTGCTGAACATGACGCTGAGCAGTGTTGCCTCGAATGTGGAATGGGTGGCAAGATCACAGACAGCGCTGTACAAATGGGTGGAAAGTAATTTGCATTCGCATCGATAGAGGATTTCATTTAGAAACAAACAATTAAACGAACAAACAAAGAACAAATATATCTATTCGATTTTAGTTAATTATGTTCTGTGGTCTTGGGAGTGCATACAGCTCCCAACTCATTTGTAATTATGTTCCTCGCAAACAAACACAAAAAAGAAGAAAAATGCATACAAAATAATCATAACGCGTATTTCTAGTTTCTGGAGTTATAAGCATAAACGAGTAATTACTATAATGAAATAATAATAACCATATCATTGCCATACCATACCGTAAACTTGCCATTTTGCGATTACCCATTCAAATGGGTCTTGAGATCTCCATTAAAGTATGTTGTATGTTGTGTTTTTGGTTGATTCTTCCTACTTGAGATTTAGTTACACACACACACATGAAAATTCAACTGTAAATTAAGAAAGAAAAACAAAGAAAAACACACCAATCTCTAAAGTACTTATACACATAAATATATATACATACCTATATATATATATAGGAAACAGCAATCTTACTGATGCCATTTTTCTATAATCTACAACTGAACATAAGGATATTTATCTATATTGTATATGTATGTATATTTTACAAAAAAAAAAAGAAAAAGGAAAAGGAAAAGGAAAACAAGAAGCATATTTAGAGCCAAGTAATATAGAAAATAAGGCAAAACAGATAAACATATTTTTTCAAACAAACTCAAAACAAAACCAAAAAAAAAAACATATATATACATATATATATATATATATAACACGAACAGAAACAACTATATAAATCCATAAACATACAAATTATGATAAATGTATAGCAAATAGTATATTAGTTGCATAAGTCTCGTTTATTAATCAGTATGCTGTGTGTGTATATGTAAATGTATATGTGCGCATTGATATATCACAGAATTCTTCCTTATTCAACAAACAAAAACAAAGAAATACAAGGCCATTATAATGGATACAAACGATATTATATAGCTCCCTAAAAAGAGATACATACTACATACTACATGCATATTGTACATACACTAAAGCATTGTAGAGCATCAGCATTCTGCTAAAAGTCAGACACTTTTTATTTATGCACATCATATTATTAATATTAATAACTATAAACATGTGCGTACTCTATTTAAAATTCTTTCGATTCTTTTGATTTGCTTTGAGATTAGTTGAATACTTAGTGCCTCTAAATAGTGGTCGCTAGGAATTAATGCACCCGAAAAAATTGAATTTCACAAAATCCTATTTTCTGTACAAACAAATTACAGATTTTAATGTGTTATGTTTTGAATTTTTGAATAGATGCATTTTCATTTAATTAAGTTAAAAAGTGTATATTTAGTGTGGCTACTTTTGAAAATACTAATTTCTGTACAAAAAAAATTAGAGATTTTAATGTGCGATATATATTTCAATTTAAATATTTTAATAGATACATTTTCGGTTTATTAAGTTCTTTTAAAATAATAGGTGTATATTTAAAGTGGCTACACTTACAAGAAAATATGATCGTTATTCTTAAAACTCGACCCAAAAACTAAAATACTTTCCAATTTATTAAATTGATTTTAACACTTTGTGAAATACCTTTTTCAATGTAGAAACGCTTCACCTTAAACGACAATCCTAAATATATATATATATATTTATAATTTTCAAAAATACTTTCTTTTCACAGGATTAATTTTTTTTTGAAAGGCATAAATTTCAACATTTTTTGAATATTGCTAGAAATTTTCTAAAAAACTCATTTAAATAAAAATTGTCCGCAAATATTGATCAAAATATTAATTTACAATCTTGAACTCTGTTTTATAATTTAAATGCGTTTTTCGCTGCTTCCAAGTCAACTAAATGTAGCAAACACATATTAATTTGAGACTTATATTTGTTTTTAGAAAAATCAAACTTGTAGTTAAAAAAAATAAGACATCGATCTGTAAATCTAAATTCTAGGACAAGTTTTAATAATTTTTATATTTTTTTTTTTGACTGAATGTAATTTTAATCAGACTAGTCTAGTCGGGTACAGCTGTGGCACTTATCTCTTCTGTCGACAGCATGGTACATCTTGACTTATTGCTCTTTTTCAATTTGAAGAGCTTGCTATTCAGGCTATACAGTAGCGCTGATAACCGCTGAGCACTTGGCCTGCCCGATTATATGGTCGCCACAAACATATACATTTAGTATATATAAATATTTGTATGTGTGCAAAGTTTATCAGTGCCGTGCCTCGGGATCGTGAGTTGTCTTGATTCTTGACTCAATCTGAAACTGATCTCCTTATCTCTCTCTCTCTCTCTCTCTATCTCTCTCTCTCACTTATATATAAATTTATTGGTAAACATTTTTAAATTTGGTGTGCAAATGTTTTGCTATATATTGATTTGGACTAGTTTGCTTTTTGGGTTTTTTTTTATGCTGCGGCTAGTTGTTTATCTTTGCTAAATATTAAGACTAACTCAAAGATACTCGTACACGTACAATCTGCTCAGATACGCGTATTTACATACACACATAAATATGATATATGATTAGCAGTAAATAGAACCACACAACAAAAAGACAACAACAAAAACAAATGCAACAAACTTTAGCAACAAGTTTTGGAGCGATTTTACTGTTTTCGAGAAATGTATAAAACTTAAATAAAACGGAATACCGAATACAAACATACACTAAAACTCAAGATTTAGAAAGTTTTACAAAATCATCTACATCAATTTTTGAATAACATTATAATGTTGAAAAGCCTTTCTTCGATTGAAACAAATTGTGGGTTCGATGTAAATATATATATTAATTATTTTGTTACTTATATGATTTAATTTCAATCTCAATCATATATCCTCTCCCATACCCTACATCTAATTGTATACTTGCGCATATCCGTCCACATATATATGTATTTGTTCACAATTCAGATTGATTTAAATAGACCCTCGATAAGTTAACCCACTTAGTTTGCTAAATCAAAATGTCTAGTTAATTTTATTAGATGAAATTTATTTGCGATTCGATTTAAGCCTAACCTAATATGAATTTTTTGTATTGTATCACCTTTTATAAGAAAATTGTGTAGAAGAATCGTAGATGGAAAGCAGGCAAAGCAACTTTAAAGACGTAAATCTAATTGTATGAAAATATATATATATATTTATGTATATTAAGTCAAATGGGAATACATATAAATAAAATGATAACTAATATGTAACAAAAAAAAAAGAGCATAAAATGTGTTTTTTATTTAATATTTCAAATTGATTTCAGGTGTTATTACGAATATTACGAAATAACCTTGATTGGAAGAACGATCGAATATCAATAAGTCAATATATTGATAGCTAAAAAAAAAGTAAGAGTATAAAAATGGGTATGCATTGCTCACTTATACCTACAATTCTAACTACAACTGTTGATGTATCTTGTAGTTAAGAACATAAGTTGTATATCAAGACTTAAACCTAACTATTTGTTGCTAAAATATGAGATAAGATAGACTGATCTCCTTAAGACAAGATAAAAACATTACATATCTTATCTGTTGTTATTATTTACAGGGTATCTAGGCTGTATGTCTATTTCAATCGCTACCTTTATCTTTGTCACTCGTCTGTGTTAAACTATCTGACAGAATCGGGAAAATTATGGCAAACAGCTCAATTAATGATATCACTCACAAACTCAAACGCACTCTCTCTCTCTCTCTCTCTCTCTCACTCTCTAATCAAGAATATCAGCTGAGAGAACAGTTGATTGTTTTTTTGTGTTGTTGTTGTTTATTTGTATGGTGCTGTTAACGTCGCGTGTCGATGTCGTCGTAGTTTGTTTTGTGGGCCCGAGGAAAGCTCTCATCAACCAACCGACCGACCGACCCGAACGACCACCAGCTGACCGAACCGATTAGCGGCATTCGCCTTGGCACTCGTCCCAATCATCGCTCAGTATATTGTGAACCGTACTGTAAAACGCCAACAAATTACTCTGCCGCTCTGCTGCTCTCTTAAGCTTTTTCTTCATACACGCGCACCTGTGGAATGCTGTTGTTTTGAAACTAACGTAAACATACAAAAACGAAATAACGTGAAAAGCTCCTCAAAATACAAAATCAAAGTGTAAACAACTGACAATTTGTCAAAACTGAACAATCAAACCCCGAGCGGGAAGTGAAAAAAATCTTCTTATGTATGTATTGCTGTTATTATGTGCACATAATAAAATAAAAAATAGAAAATTATGAATAAAATAAAAAATTCGCTAGACCAAAAATTGCGACGTTAAAGTTAAGTGCGATGTCAACGGGGGAATTCGCCACTCCACTCCACTCCCCCCTCTCACCCTTTGTCAACAATCAGCAAAACTAAGCGCGCCTTTTTCTTAGTGTGTGTGTATGTGTGTATTGTGTGTTTCTATGTGCAGTGGAAATATAAAGCATCAAGATTGACTGCCCAGTGATCGCCATATTAATGCCAATTTGTACACACACATATATATGCATGTGTCTGTGTGTGTGTGTTGAATTTGAGTTGTGCAAATAGTTTTCTCTTAGCATATTGAACAGAGACGCTGCCACTGTTAACATTCATGCTTACATAGAATAGAAAATTGAATTTGTATAAATTACCGGCATGTGGTCATCGTGTGTGTTGTGCACACTTTGGAGCAGCGCCCTTCACCTCCACTTTAAAAAGCGCTGCAGCAGTAGAATGCCGACTATCAGATTCCCTGTAACATATGTTGCGCGGCATCAAAATAAACAAAACACAATAAACAAGTTTATGCTAAGATAGCTAAGAATTACTCGACTCCAAGTGTTTATTTCAAAGTTTTAAAAATAAACATAAATAAAACAAAATAAATAGTTAATGTCTTAAAAAACATACTCTAAAATTAAAATCACACTATGTACCCCATTTTCTAATGAAATGGATAGATCTTAACAAATTGTGAATCTGATCATAAAACGAATACTAAGTTTGATCAGTAATTTAGCTTAAAATTTCCATTTAATCAGAATACTTCAATTTATATATTGATCTGTTAGAAATACGATACAAATACCTGTTTGTCACACACTTGCACAACTCATGCCACCCCACCACGACCACCCATTTATAGGGAAAAAATCTAAAAATAATCAAATGTTTTCATTTGTTGTTTAAGCGAATTTTGCGTAGCAATATGTATTATGACGCTTGCATGTTTATCGCTTGGAATAAGCCAAATTACAATATTTAATACATGATTTGCTGTTCTCTCAGGCATAGCTTACAACGCTTACCAGTTTGTCACTTTAATTGGTACTCTACTGTACTACTCACTATTTCCGTTTAATAGTCGTCTACATACATATATATATATATAGTATACCAATATAATTATTAGCTAACAATGTGCTTACTATTGAAGAGTGCTAATATTATTGACACGATCATTTCCAATGTATTCTAAGCTCGTCAACTGTACGAAGTTCCATTAAAAAGTATTTATAAAAAAAAACCAGACAACCATCGATTTGTACTTAGATCTGTAATGGCCTATGTCAACATGGGAATGTTTCGTACCTATTTCGAGTTGAATAACTATAATAAACTGCTGAATTGTACCTGCATACACTTGTTTAACTGTGTAATTCTCGGAACACAGCTTAAATAAAGAAACGTCTCAAATATTGAAATAAATAATAAAAAAAAACTGGTTTTTCTGTCTGCGCCGAAAGCTTTGTTAATTTGCATTGTTGACAATGCTCTTGAGTTTTAGCTCCGAACACGTCTAATATGTGTATACGTAAGATTTTGGGCGAATTTCATTATATCCATATCGGCCAAAATAATCAAAGCTCGCCAAAGCTTTCCCCACAGCAACGTTGGCAGCATTAGATAAATCTTCGATTTGAAGAGGTGCGCTTCAGTTGGGCAGCATCTCATCTAAAAAGAGAGATTGCTGCAAAAAAGGGCCTTGGCTAACAAGGCAAATGAAATTGCAATATTGAACGAGTTTAATCCAAAAGCTATTTGCCTATTAAAAAGGTAAATCAATTATTTATTTTTTGACTAGTTTTAAACTACAACTTGAGGTATACATTTTAAACTCCTCCCTTAAAGCTACCTTAGACAAGTTATAACAAACCTGATAAGACTGGTTTTCCCAAAATCACAAAATTTAAAAATATGCCAATTCTAGTTTCATAATTAATTCGAAACCAAACAAATTGTTTTGTTATAATTAAAAAATAAATCTATGCAAGGCAGTTCAAATAATAATAAGGGTAAATGTTATAACAACCATAAAGTTGTTAAAAGTTACAATTAAAATATATAAAAACAGAATTGAATAAAGAAACAGCTACCTTTCCTGACTATTAGTGTTAAGTAATATGATAAGAGTGTTGCAGGTGAATCAGTACAACTTTTAATCAAAATTAAAAATAATGAGTAAGAATTTTGGCTTTCATTTCGGTCGAGCATATTTGATAATACGAGTGTGAATGCTATAAAAATGAAAATTTAATTTATAAATATAAATATATATGTGTAAATAAATGTGTATTTGTTCGCACCGCCTTGTCTAATCAAATAATGTATAACTATCGCCATACCAGTTATCAATATTCGGACTTAACGACGATCTTATCGCTCACATTTGCGTATAAAACGATTATGGTACACATTGAGAGTTACTCGTTTTTTATTGTAAATGTGAAATATTCCCATATTGTATGCCCTAAAACGATTTAACCATTTTATTGTTGCTGTGGCAAAGTATGAAACAGGCGGTAGACAGAATCAAGCATGAGAAATATATATTCCCAAGAGAAATACATCTGTCTGTCTGTCTGTCTTTCTGTATAAACTATAGAAGACTTTAAGAGTTACAAAGCATTCGTATTACATACACAGATCAAGTTTGAATGCGCTAGTTTCCCCATTATCGATTAAAATCGATTTCCGATAGCAATTAAAGTCACAATTTTAAAGATATATCTTTCAGTTAGCATATTTATATACCTTGAGTACAATTTTGATCATCTGTACAAATTTCATCAAGTTCGGTTACACATTAGGGGTATATCTTAGTCGAGCTCTCTCGACTAGAGCATTCTTAATTTTTACATGTGCTCTTATCATTTCATATTGTCTATTCTGCGATGTTTCATCATGTATATAAATTAAAATTTGTGTTTGTATACACTTCAGATGTAAGTACACACCTTATAAATATATTGTCAATCAGACACGCAAAAGTTTTACACAAAATGAAATAGCTTTTAGGCCCAGGGGAAATGTTAATCGATGCAGGAATTGTAAATTGCTCTGTATGAATAAATAAATACTCTAGCTAATCAATTCCAAATCGATTAAAATTCCAAATATCTTGAATTATTTCATTCATTAAAAGTTCTCTCCAATTTTGCTGTTAAAAAAAACAATTACATACAATTTTTCTGAGTGTGTATGTATGTATGTAAGCTAACTACAATAATAATTATATTGTGTATGTGTGTGTTTACATGGTTTATAGGCAGGTATACGGTAGGATTCGCTTATACCTCGTGTAAGTAGGCGGAAAGTGCCGACCCCCCGCTGAATAAATAGTACGCATGGCCGATAACGGTACACATACGTTCGTACTGCGTACTTACAATTTGGATCACAACTATAAGTACGCCGGATTTTTACGAAACTATGATTGGTTTCTTATCCACCGACATCTTGTCGCCTGACAAATTTTAATCAGACTGATATATTAACTCAAGAGCTGCTAGTGTACCTATTAATGTGAACACAAGTGTATTTATTGATATTCTCCAGACATTTATTATTCAAACTGAAAACACTGTTAAGTGAAACATAGTCTACCTATTATTATGACCACAAGTGTATATATTGTTTTTGTGGACACATTTTTTATCTAAATTTGGCAAGTTATAAGCGAAATACAAATACATGCAGATACATATCTACATATGTATATATGTATGTATGTACATGTGTGTATGTATTCGAAATAATTGCAATGCTGATTTGAAATTTGTATTTGCAGTTGTTGGTTGACTCACAACGGCAGAAGATAATCTAATCGTGCATCATGATCGAATTGGAGGATTTGCCCCGAATGCAATCGCTGTCGCCTGTAATGGATTTCGAGGCTCCCGATCCGAGTGTGACCCAATTAAACCCGAAGAAGGTGATCAAACCGATGCCGAAGCTGCTCATAAAGCCAACTGTGGCAAGCACACCGGCTAAATTGCCAACAACTTTAACAACACCAACAACACCAAAACCAACAACACCAACACCAACAACGACCATAATCCCAATAACACCAACAACCCCGAAAAGCTCTGAGGAAATGAAGAAAATTGAACGTAATATGCTCTACTGTGGCTTTAATTTCAATACGCTGGTAAGCTTGAAAATGCTTTTAATTGTTTTATTCCTTACATTTATTTAGTTTACTTAAAATATATTGAAATTGCGGGCACAGGTTAATTTAAATAATTAACAGTGGTCTGTTTTCAGCAGTCGTTTGCTATAGCTTCCACTGGGAGTATCGTCACGGATGTAAAAGCTTCGAAAGCTCAGTTTAAAATCACACCACTTTTATCAGCTTTGTGCGCAGCGCATTGTTTTAATGCGTAGCTACGTTTTTTTCCATTTACTTTTCACCTCAACCCAGATTTCTATTCACCAAATGCTAAAGAATCTTGCCTGCAATAACAGCCAGTTAACAGATCACTTGAGTAACAACAGCAAACTAGCAGCTCAATTGAGCGCTAACAGTACCATTTGAGTTAAAAGTTCAGTGCGATAACAAACGAATGTTACATCGCTAACGCAAGGCTAACAGAACTGTGCTTTTATAGCATAATTGCTATAAATCGTATTTGTTGTTTTAAAATCGCGGCGAGCAGACGTTTGTCAGACGTTTCCTGAGTTGCGAACAAATTGTGAAAATAAAACAAAACTATACGAAAAAAAAACACGTTTCTACTATCGCATTTACTCTATGTGTAAGCTAACGAATACGCAACGCAAAGAGAAAGTCGCAATAATAATCGAATGAAGCCGCGTAAAAAGTGAAAAAAGAACAACTGCATATGTGTGTGTGTGTGCCCGGATGTTTATGTGTGTGTTTTTAACCGGAGAATAATTTTATGAATTACCTCGTGTTCTCTGTTTTCTTTATAAAATTGACATGTTTGCAATAAGGCCGAATCTAAATAAATGTGCAAGCTCATTGTGATGTGGTGTGGTGAACAACAATAGCAACAACAGGCTAGCAACAGAGCCACAAAAGCCACTCAATTCAGCAATATGCGCTCGCTCTCTCTCTCTCTCTGTCCCTCTCTCTTTCACTCGCTCGCACTTGCTCGTCTCATTGCGCTCAGCTGACATGTTGCAAGCCGCATAAAATCGCCGTTTGTTAAATATTTGTGATGCAAAGTTCATGCGCGCAAATTACACAAATATTGTTCTGGAAGTTTCTTTTTTTTTTGTTATTCTTCAGAAAGCGACAAAAACAATACACAATGTTAATAACATTTACATGAGCTGCTTTTGTGTCTGTGTTTGTTTTTGTTTGTGTGTCGCTCTTCTTCTTCAGCTTTGGCTGTTGCTGTTCCTCGACGTGTCTGTTCTTATTGTTTTTGCCTTGGTATGCATGTCATATGTTGAGTGGTGGGTTTGTGTGCGTGTTGCGTGTGTGTGTGAGCTTTGATTGTCATAAGAGTTTAATTATTTTGCATGAGTTAATTGATGTCATGCATTTAAACATACGTGTTCGTGTGTGTGTGTGTTTGTGTTGAGAATGAAGAAACTGACAAACTGACAAAAAAAAACAGTGAGTCACAGAGACTGGCCAAGAGGCAAAAGCAAGCAGAAAGCGGCGACAAAAGCAAACAATGAGACAAACGTCGAGGAGCAGGCATAAAGCATAACAAGCATTGCTATTGCGAAATAGACTAAACGAAAAAAGAAAACAACATCAAAAAGAAAACAATAAATAAAAACGTTTTTTTTTATCAAATGACGATTTCACCACAGAAGAAGAAAACACACTCCCACTCAAAGTGCGTAAGAAGAGTGTGTTTTGACAGGGACAGCGTTTGTTTGACAGTTGATATTGACGCATGCAATGTCAATAAAATGCACACACATATACTTTTGCATATGCATACCTGTCTGTGAGTGTGTGTGAGACATTTTAGCTTTTTATCGTGCGCAAATGAGAGCAGAAAGCGTTGCCATTGGAAAGTGATAGAATGAAAGTCCATTGGCCAAGTTCAAGGACGTTGTGCAAAAAATAACACAATTCGTGCAAACACAATCAATTTGTATTATTATAATTCTCAGTATTAAAAAAAAAAATAAATACGTTTTTGCAGCTACTAATAAATGTTGATTTATGAAATATACAAATAAAACAAACATATTACCGAAACGAAAAGTGCCCAATAATTTTTGAAGCAGCCGCGTGCAATTTGAAAATTGAAAGCAGAGCAACAGACAACGAGAGAAAGGGAATACAGAAACATCCAACGTCGGCAGCGACGTCAACGTCAACGGCGTGCGATGTCGTTGAATGCAAACGGTAAAATATCATTCACCCAACAGAATTTCGCAGCCGCCTCAACAGCAGCAATAACAACAATAATAACGCACAACATTTACTGCGTCGCAGTTTTTACCGTTGAAGAAGAGAAAGGAGCAGAAGAGGTAGCCAAAGCAGCAACAGCAACAGCACTTCTTGTAGGCGAAAAGCGAATTTATATGGAGAGAAAAAGGTGAGTGCACTGTCAAATATACACACGCACACATTCACATACATGCCGACACACAACACACATGCACACATGCATGCATCTCACTCTCCCCCATTATTAACGCTCGTTAAAAGCTTATTGTGTGTAGTGCATTTTTTTGTACTTGTTCCATAAGATTTGTTTGCGCTAACATCGAACATTGTTTTATTTTACTTGGAACAAAGAGTGTTTATATCTGTTATGGGCTTTAAATATTTTTTTGTGGCACCTTCTTTGACTCGCCTTGAACTTGCCTCTCTATTTCTTTATTTTTTATTGTGTGTGCGTCGTGCTTGTCTACCTCCCATTCGCCCCACCCCCCAAAATTCATATCAATTTTATGAGAGACCTTGAACAAGTTCAAGTTCACGCAGCCTGTCTATTGCTATCTCTGTCTGTCGCATGCTTCACATGTTTTCGGGCAACTGTCAGCCTTGTGGGCGGGAGTGGAGAGGTCAACATTAGGCTCACCTCAGAAATCGAATTTTAAAGTAAAATCGGAAGGAAAAGAATATACAAGCAAATATCTGGTTTTTAATAATATTTATATTTTCAATAATGTTTATTAATTAAACTTTTCCTAGACACAAAACATGAATTTTTGTTTGACATTTTGCTTTGTTTTTGATTTAGTTGTTATATATATATATATGTGTGTCTATATACATATATGTGTATATGTAAGAGATTTACTTGCTCAATTATTTTCAATCAATTGTATTCCTCTAATGCCGAAATAATAATAATTACTTGCATAATATTACTTAGTTAAAGTATCAACAACTACTCTAATTATTTTAATATCGTTCCGAATCGATTTTTTTTGTTTTTAGTTAATTAATGCTCTATAGTATTTGGTATAGTAACAAAAGCCATTCTAGTCAACGTTTATTCTTTTTATTACCACGGAAATATTTAGTGTTCGTTTTTGTTGAATTAATCTACGCATTTGCATATGTATTTCCTGGTGCATTTCCTTGACGAGTTCTTTCAAACACATTACCACCACACACACATACATGTATATCTCATATAACTAATAAAGTAATTAATATTTAACCTTTAACCATCCATCTTTCTATCTATCTGCTTGCAGAGAATAACAGACACGAGGACGACACTCAATAATTATTAAAGCGCATTGGCAACAACAAAAGTGGCCATCGTTTGTTGTTGTGTATTTGTGTTGTGCGAAGAGAATTGCGATTTAAACAAATACGTGAAATTGTGAATTTGCGCAGCATATAGAGAAAACTTGATTCACATATATACACATCCACATAGCATATATGGTCTCAAGTAAAGCAGACATCGTTCTCGCAAGGAAACGTTATTGAACTGAACGCACGGACGGACGGCGCAGCCAGCAGAAAGAGGAGAAGGAGGCGGGGGGCTTGTTCTGCTGGCCGGGCGTGTGGTGGCGGAGGAGGTGGGGTCAACAACAATACCAACAAGAACAACAACAACAAAAAAAAGCAGCAACAACAACAATTAACTGAGACCAACAACTGTCCACCCACACACTGAAACCCCCACAATCTTGATCTGTCAACACACAGTCACAAAAATGATCTCAAACAAGAAAACGTATGCAATGAAAATGTTGCAACTGGCACTGGCCTTGAGTCTGTTGCATGCGGACACGGATTATACGCGCATAATCCGCTTGCGTCGCTGGGATGCCCAACTGGAGTTACCCCATGGCGTCGGCTGGGAATTGGAAATGTTGCGCACCGTGCCCATGATTGAGACCCAACAGCCGTATGGCAATCGCAAGGGTATAACGCTGCCGCCACCACTCCTGGACGATCTGTTGGGCTACGATGCTGATGATGCACTGCATTATCTGGTGGAAGCAGCGGGCGCATCGAGTGCCAAGGAATACAAATTGCCCACGGGCAGCTTCAATGCCAGCACCTTTGTTATGAATCTACACAATACGACTGGGAATAGCAGCGTTCAAACTGCTGCCTTGCAGGATTTGCAGAGTAGTCCGGGCAGTGGCGCCACCGGTTCGTCGACGGCTGGGGCCGCAGTAGCGGCTGCCGCCGCCTCGACGGGTAATGTGGCGGGTGCAGCAGCAGCAGCTGCAGCACTCGGTGAAATTCACATTGATACCACGAGTCATCATCATCTTAATAATAATAATAGCAGTACACCGGGTGTTGGCTCGCCGGAATTGGATATATTTCTATCGCCCGATCTACAGCAGGATCAGCGTTCGATTTGGGAACAGAACATCGCCGATTTGCATGATTATGGGGATTTGCCGTACAGCAGTCCGTATGCCCATCTACCGCTGAAGGATGGCCAGAACAATAACACCCAGCAGCTGGACCTCAGCCTGGCTGCCTTCCTGAACGGCTTCGCAGGCAATGCCCTGCCACATCCCTCAGCAGATGCGCCCAACGCACTCAACGACAGCACGCCGCATCCCAGCAATGCGGGCAGTTTGACTGTACAACAATTCGGACCGGATGCGGATGAGGACGATGAGGGGGATCTGATGCTGAGCCAGCTCTTTGGCGAGAATAACTCGGATATCGAAACAGCAGCGAATGCCTGCGAAGTGGAAGGACTCACCAGCGACGAACCCTTCGGCATCATCAACGAAGTCGAAGTCGTCGATGAGGTAACCCATTTATTTTTCCAACAACTTTTCACTAGAGATGGGTAATATTCCAACAAGGAATATATTTAGTCCCATCTCGAAGCTGTCTCGATTTATATTGCCGTACAGTATATATACATTCTTGATCTGCATCACTAGACGGGTCGATATAACTTTCGGTTCCTCTGTTTCTATGCTAATTAGTCCAGCAGTTTTGAAACAATCTTGATGAAATTTGGGTTATATCAGCTTTTATGCTGCCGGCAGTGTATATATCGGAGCTGGCCGTATCGAATTACTATATCATATAGCTCCCATAGAAGCTCCCATGGAACAAAAACTATGGAGATATCTATATATATATATATATCTCATGTAGGAACAAAACAAAACATTTTTGTTTATTAAGATATGCCAACAAAACTTTTCCAGTCTCCCAATTATGTATGCTTCTTACACTTGGACCAAAAATCATTGAGATCGTACTACTATATCATACAGAAAGATCAACAATTGGTTAAAATTTGAGTGCTTGTAAATGAAAACTATTGCTTTTTAACAAGTTATCCTACCAAACTCAGATTACTATATCATTTAGCTTGCTTACGAGCAATATATTGATTTTAATTGGACTCCGTTCCATTTATATATTTTTAAACTTATTTATTGTCTTTGTTTTTTGTATTTCTAAAACCAAACTGTAGCTAGAGAAAGAGAACAATATTTTTAATTATATACCGATATAGTCCCGATTTCTCAACGCACACACACATTTATGTATAGTCTGTGCCTGGCGTCAGCTACTTGCAACTTTGACTTGCTAATGAAGCGTTTGCCCTTTTGCTTGACTTGCTCAACGGATGCACATTTTAATGTTGGTCTTCGTTTGTGGTTCTCCATTGGACTAGACATTCGACTATTTAGTTGACTACCTGGCTTTGGCTTTATTTTGGTTCTAGTTTAGCATTGAAGAGTGATTTATGTAGTTCAATGTTCGATTTCATCTAAGTTAAATAATTCGAAATCAGTTGTAATTTGGGAATTCTATCTGAAAGTTGGAAAATTGGCATCTTGCGTCTAGGGTCAAAAGTTCACACAACTATTAATCAATGACAAAATTCTCAAGTTCAATTCAAATCTCAATCTGCAGATAATACACATTGTATATATATATTCAATACGTCAAATTTGATAATAAGTTAATGGGGATGATTTACAGTGTCGATTGCCAGTTCAATTTGGCTTGGGGGAATCAGTTGCGCATTTTTTGCCAGCTGTCAGCTCATTATAAAGTCAAATCTCTCTGTTTCTAATACCAGCTTGAACTAATGCCACTTTCTAAATATAAATATTCGACGAGCTTTCCGTTTTAATCGGGTCATTTCAAAATCGATGCAAAAAATTGGTGTCTTCTTCGTTTTCATTTTTGTATTTATTGACGGGGATTTTGACTCAAAATTGCATTTATGAATAAATTGATTTAAAATAATCATTGCTTATAATGGAAAAATAACTTTTAAACTTTTGCTTAAATGTTCATAAATTGCGTGCAAAACATACGCGCTTTTTTTTACTTATACCCTGTACGTGCATGTTGAATGGGGTTGCTAAATTCGCATACTTATGTCGAGATTTGAATTTTTGAAAGCTATATTGTTTAATGTTGCAAATCAAGCAATAAATGTATGTGTTTTTAATGCAGTGTACAAAAAAATATGGCATTTGTATTTTAATTATTTTTCAACTAAATTGGTTTATTTATTTTTGAAAATTGCATTTTCATATTATTTAAATTGCAAATCAATAGAAATAATTTTTTTGCAGTGTATGAAAAAGTTTGAATTCGCATTTTAATAATTTAATTAATTTAAGAATCGAACCCCGAATGCCATCAGCTAAATTATTTTATTTATTTATGCAAATTGCAATTTAAATACTTCTGAATTGTTGTTTATATATACATATATATATATACACTCATTGTATGGGGTGACTAATTTTGTTTCAGCTTTTTTGTTTTGCGTATTTTTGTTGTTGTCATTTTGTAGATAATGTCACGAAATGTTTTCCATTTTTGCCGCTGATGCGATAAATGTGCATTTAAGCATATGCAATATATATAGTATATAGATATTTGTATATGCATTTTGTATTAATAGATATGCTTCTATATCAAATGGGTCAATTAGCTGACATTTTTTGTGTGTTTTTGCTTGTTTTTGTTTTTGTTTCCATTCTCCGCTCACTTTTCCGAATTGCATTGCATGTTTGGCTTTGATTTTTGTCCTTCCATGTCCGACAGTTTTATGGATCATGTTTATATAATTGTATTTATGCATTTAGATATATATATATATGTGTGTTCATCTTTTTACCTTGTAGCTTGTGTTAATTTAAAACAATTGCATTTTCTTTTGAAATTTATTTTTGAAATCATAAGATATAGAAAGATCATCAACTCAAATCAACTCAATTTAGCATATTTTAAATGAAGTAGTTTTTAATAGTTTGCATATATGAGAAAATGGGACAGCACAGAAAATGAGAAATTCTCTTCTAATTAGATACACAGCACTGTGCCAGCTTTAATGATTTTGATGATGATGATGATGATGAGATCGTTAATCAACACCAGATTATTGTCTCTTTCTCTCTTTCCCACATTTCGCGCACCTGTAAAGCGTAGTCTCTGCATGTGTGTGTGTGTGTTGATTGTGGTTGAGATGAGGTCACACACTTTTACACACATACACGCAGGTACAGTGATGTGTCCGCTGTTGGTGGAGATTTTGTGTTTAATGGTGCCGACCTATTTTTGCATATATGCAAAAGCTTAAAAACTTGTAAATTTAAAATATGCAAAATTGAGTTGATACGAGCTGATGATCATTCACATTCACATGATCACAAAAAGCATCTCGATATGAAACTGTAATTGTTGTATATCAACACCAGCTATATGGACAACAGATGTACACTCATATATACAGCTATGCGAATCCTACCACACGGGGTCTATGTGTCGTTGTACATAAACTTGGCGAGAGACAAAAAAACAAATCGCAGCAGCGCGCAAAGGTTTCGTTGAACTTCGCTTTGTTTTTTCCTCTTTTCATTTCCACCTCGTCGCCACCCATTTTATCTTTTGAGGTTACAGCAACAATTTGAAAGCTGTACTTGTGAATCAGTCATGCACAGAGCATATATATATTTAACCGCTGATTATTTTTAGACGAGTGATTAACTTCCCAATTTTTTTGTTTTGTAAAGCTCAGCATATATTTATTTTTCGCTTTTTGCTGTTTGTTGCTCAGTCGCGCCCCTTTTCGATCTTGTTTGTTGGGCAGCGCCGGTTTTTTGATAACGTAACAAAATAACGCAAACAGCTGTTTTTACCGGCATTTTTACCCACCACTCTGTAAGTTTTTCTTCATATTCAGCGCGCTCTCTCGCTCGGACGCTCTCTTAACTCAGCACATGCTCTTCACCACACCACCACTGCAACTGCGACATGTTAGCAACATTTGTTGCCTATAGTTTCACCACCACGCAACATGCTGTCTACGAAAGCACTTAGTCGGCACACGAACCACACCTTTTGTAACTTGCATGCTGTAAAGCTTTTTACGATGGAATGAGCTTTGTTTTGGTGTAATTTATTAAAGCATAAAATACTCTGTTTTTTGAAAAACCAAGCTTCAATATAATAAAATGAATGGATTTTCAAATTCTGATTATCATTGTATATATATGAAAAACATGCTTATCACTCATTTGACGCTTATACTTGAGTACATTTACTAACTGAGCGCATAACAAGAACTTTATCAATTCAAATAATCAAATTTTTTATGGAGCTCTCCGCTAATCAGCAGTAGACCAGACAACAAAAATCAAAAACAAAAAGTCAAAAAAACAACGTCAATAAGTCAAAATGAAATTTCAGTCTGCTTATTGCCGATTGCAAGTGTAAAACACAACTTGAAAACGTGTCGCTAAAAATAAGAAAAAAATCAAAGAAATAACCCGGAAAGCAAATTAATATTTTGGGAATTCAGGCAAAAAGAGAAGAGAATAAATAATTAAAATGTGTCTCAACGAGGAGTACAAACATATGCACATTTATTTGGCGGTTCGTTTTTAAATAATTACAACTTTCTATTCACATGGCTGGGTGCTAAATCGAAAATAGGAAAAAAAAGAAACGTTGGCAAATTGAAAAATCATTTGATTGTAATTACGCTGCATTTCCACCTAATTACCACGTGCAAATGCGCAAAAAGTGCAAAAAATATCAACGATTATAAAATAATATGCCAAAGGGGAGATGAAAAAAAAAAACACGAAAAAACCCCTGACTTTTTTCTCACAGTGCTCAATGGTTAATTTCCATAATTAAATACCGTTAATTACGGACTACTGTGCATAAACTTACCATTAAGGTGCTGCCCCCTGTCGGGGAACAGCAGCTAACTAAGCGACGCTCATCTAGCCAACTACTTTGCTAATGTGTGTTGACTGTATATGTGTGTGTGTGTGCGCGCGATACGAAAAAGTTCAGATGTCAAATCGATTGATGGGCGTCGTACCGGCATGTGTGTATGTGTGAGTGCTTTGAGCTTCGAGTGCAAATGTTAGTAATGAAAGCACAATCGAATGCAAGCCAAAGCCGAATGATGACACAAATGAACGGTTATTAAAGTTTGGGGAGTTTTTTTTTTTTTTTTTGCTAACTAACCGCAAGAGGAGGGAGAGCGAGAGCGAAATAGTTACAGGATACTTGTGCAATATGTGTTTGCTCAAACAGAGACACTTGCCCACTTGAGTTTGGCTGCTTTGTTGGTGGGCAAAAAAAAAAGAAGAAGAAATAAACTGACTGACTGACTGCCTGCTTACCTGCCGGGTTGACTGACTGAAGGCTTGACGAGCACATGATTAATATGCGCCACACTTGCAGTTTGTCTGTGTCTGCATCTGTGTGTGTGTGTGTGTGTGTGTGTCTGTGTATGTGAAGTGATCTGGCTTCGTTTAGTTTCGTTTCGTTTAGTTTTGTTTCGTTTCGTTTCGTTCGTGCGGCTGTCAGTTCAGGTGTCATCAGAAATCTTTGCCGAGGCTTTATTAATGACGTTTGGCAACCTTTTTTTTTTTCATTTTCGGCATTTTTAACTGAGCCTTTCCTTTCTCATCTTCTGCTTTTGTTGCACTTTCTACCAACTGTTGCCGCCGTTTTGCTTTCACTTGGCGACTTTTGATTTGCCGCCAAGAAGCCTAGAATTTAAGAGCCGAGGATCAAAAATGCATTTATCTTGCCATCGCATCGAAGCCTGGTTTTTTATTTATTATTGTTTTTTTTTGTGGTCACTTTAATAGCCCACTAATTGTTGCTACAAAATGCGGCAAGTGTCAATATTTTGATCCCCCCTCCCCCCAATAATAAAGAAAAACATTGATTGATTAACCACAGCTAAACAAAACTTGGCAACTCTCCAAGAAGAAAAGTGTTGCCAGCATTTGTTGTTTTTCTTCTACTATTTGTCGACTTATCGATCCCCGCCCAGGCTGCCTTATCAATGATGATTACCCCTACACTCAAAGAAATTACATATAGATAATTTCAAGAGTTGATTTAATTTGATAAATACAATCTTGAACAAAGATGGATTTTTAGTTATTTAAATGTATTTCAATTTAATATTTAATGGCAAAATGTTTATATATTGCATCCCAGTCGTATTTTTACTTTGCCAGCCCAATTTTCTCTGAGTGTACAAAAGCTAAAAAAAACAATACACGTGGGCTGTCTTATTTGTAAATATTAATCTTAATTAGTTTAATATTAATATTAAGGCATTTATGGTGCTATTCTCGTACAGGTTCAATCACATCCCAATGAATAGTCTCATGATTATTTTATAATTATATATATGTATTTATATATATATATATGTGAGTGTGTGTGCTCCCCAGTTTTGAGATTTTAAAATATGTTTTATCAGTTTTAAGTCGCTTATCGCCAGACTGCTTTATGGTGAAATAGTTTTTGCAACAAAGCAAAAAACAAAAAAAGTCAAGCAGAGAGTTATCAACATTATTTGCAAGATGACAATGAAGTCAATTTCTAGATCTAGCTCGGGATCCTTATCTTTATATGCTGTACAATAAAATGGCAAGGTTTCATTTATTTTCGTCTGGCTTTTCATTCATGTTTTGATTGTTGCACCGAAAGTTGATCTGTGTTGCATATAAAATGCTTCAATATAGTCTACTTTGTAGTCGAAGTTCAATTTATTTATAGATTTGCTACAGTCAAGCAGTTGCTTCAAATGCCTGGCTCTGATAAGGCTACAGCTATTTTGGAATGCCAAATGTGCGAATAGAAACCATATTTTCAACCAAGCAATTACAAAATTCCAAGTGTCTCCCTGTGTAAGCAAGTCGATCTCAAGGGATATCGAAGCTGGAGAATATCTTTAATATATACTTATACCAATATCGATAAGGAAAGATAACGTGTCACAATAAAAGCCAACTTTAATGATACATGATCTTAGTCGAATATACCTTGACACATTATTCATCATCTTTTGTTGGCCTTTGAAAACTAGTCTGCAAATCTTCTATCTTTATTAAATGGTTGAAGAAATAACATATCCTAGACTTATATTTCATTGCAATTACCAAACATACCCTATAAAGGCCCCTCAATTCAGTGCATACCCTGTGATTGCTGAGTTAATAGCAGCAACTACATATCGTATGACAATTAAAAGATATTTATTTTTTAAATATTAACAAACATATCCTATATATACACTCTTCAGCGATTTACTTCTTGCTATTACTATATATACCCTGTATGTACCCCTTAATTGAGTGTATACCCTGTGATTGCTGCTAGCAGCTACTCCATGCCGCCTGCTCTACTCGTAGATGAAACCCATCGACAATAGACTCTAATAAGCAGCAGTAGCTAGCAGCAGGGCTTGATTTCCTTTTCGTAATCAAATGAAACCCCCTCCCCTCCCTGCCATGCACTGCTGCTCGCCTCTTCTCTTTCACTCGCTCTCTCTCTCTCTCTCTCTCTCTCTCTCTCTCCCTCCCTCCCTCCCTCGCTAGCTGTCCCTTTCTCTGTCGCTCGTTTAATTGCTCATTTTTACCGAACATGCGCAAGGCGCAGCATGTGCACCGTATCCAAGAAGGGCACCAATCCCGCACACACACATATATATACATATATATATATATATATATGTGTGTTTGTATATAGCAACTCTCTCAGCCTAACCAGGAGGGGTGCTGCAGTCGCGTCTCTGGCAGCGTCGCTGTCAGCGTTGCGCGGCAGCAATTGATTGGGCTCACCAAGCAGCAGAAGCAGCAGCAGCAACGTCGACGGCGGCCCTTTTTTTCTCTTCTCTTTTTTTTGTGGACCGGGTAAAGACCAATGATGCCGCCGCCATCCACGCTTGGATATATGCTGACTAATCCAGGAGATAGGCGTGGTTCCACACACACACTCGCACACACACACACACAGTTACATGCCCAGTCGATGATTGATTGCTTTTTGTTTCACGAACGCGCAGAAAAGTTCAAGAAAGCCTCACAAACAATTTCATTAAAAAGAAAATGTTCCCGTTCACTGCGAGTAGTGGCAGGGGAGAGAACAAAAAAAAAAGAAGAAAAACGAGAAAAAAAATGTCGCTTGGAAAATTAAAAAGAAAAAAAAAGAAGAAATAAAATAGAATAGAATACAGGAATACGAATACGAATACGACTCCTATGACTACGAATAGATATTGAAACATTTTAATTAAGCCATCAATGCAGCATTCTTGTCAGAATATTTCTTATTTTATTTATTTTTTACTTGTGTTGTGTCATTGTCATTGGCGCGTTGAGAACTGTTCGATCTGTCGAACATTTAACATTTCAGCAAGTTGCTCACTAATGTGCACACCATTATCCTGTGATTATCTCTCTACACTACACACAAATGACATGGACTCGGGCTTGGACTCTACCTGCCCAAAATATCCGTGTTGCACTTTGTGTTTGTGGCTTAAGACGCCCAGTTTTCTGATTCAGCGTAGTTGACTGTAGAAAGGATTAAAATGGCAAGTCTGGTTACGGCCAGCGTTAATAATGCATCATTAACGCTTTAATTTGAGGTCCAAATGCTTGACCGCATGATTTTGCAAAAATATTTTTGAAATATTTCACCCATAAATATACATATAGAGTTGAAGTTCTCGCAGTCGAGCGGCATTTGCATTTAGAAATAAGGTTTTTTTCATTAAATTGTTTTTGCAGCTTTTGATTTTTCATTTTCATTTTATTACTTGAATCTATTTTTACTCTTCTTTATTTCACTCTTAAATATGGAGCTCTCTATATATCATAAAGCTGATAAGCTTGTCAAAAGAGAGCAAAAAGAGAGCGTCAAACTTGATAAGCAATATAATTTAAGGCACTCTTTCAGTTTGTGCAACAACAAAACAATTCAAAAAGAGCATTTTGAGTTTTGTTTTTGCAAAACTGATAAAGAGCCATAGATATGCCAGCATACTTCAGTAAAAAGTGTGGCTGCGACGTGGTTTTTATCTGCAGTCAAGCGAGTTATCAGCAATAAAAATTAAAAAATATATACTAAGAGCAAATAGACAGAGTGGTTTTCTTACATGGATTCCTACACTCAATCGTAGTACCCACTTAATCAGTCTCTCTTTAGAAACGGACGCATTTGGACGGAGGTTTAAGAGTACAAGAAATTTACTTTTTAACATTTAAAAAACAAAGTGCAAAACATTTATCAGAAAGCAGTGAATCATTAACTAGAACATAATCAATAAAATTTGTCTGCAATATGATGGTTTTTATTCATGGAACTTATCTTGTAAATAATTATATTAATTATATCACAGTTGACAAAAACAAAAAAAAGTTGTGCCCGCAATTTACCACAAACAAATGTGCCGAATTTGTAATATTTAATAATTTTTGTATTTTTTGTTTTACAGGAAAGCGAAATCGCTGAAGTGCTTTACAAGCAGGATGTCGATTTGGGCTTTAGTCTCGATCAGGAGCAAATTATCAATGCCTCCTTTGCCAGCGGCAACAGTGCCGACAAGCAGAGCGCTCTGTCCGAGGACGAGGCTAAAAAGGATCACGCCGAGGATACCGTTAAGGATGCCGACAATAATGATGACGCCGAGAAACTAAAGGCTTTGACCGATCTACAGCAAGATGAGGCAAGTAGAGATAACTGAAAGCTTACAAGTGAATTTCACAATGTTGTTACAACGTGAGCAGAAAGCTTAAAGTCGATAAGATTTGAAATTCTTTGTTTTATTGATCGATATACTTATCGATAAATGCCAAGTTCATGTTTAATTCAATTGAAACTCTTGGTTTATCTGTGCACTTATCGATAAATTTGCGAACACCTACAAGGCCAATGCTTTCCTTAAAGATTATTCAATACGTTTGTCGATTGATAAAAATGCCTTAGCGAATTTTGTGAAATTTAGATTATCAAGCTTTTTGGTTAAAATATGTTATCCATAATTTCATAATTAAACTTAAATAATTTCATAATTAAAGCCGTCGCTTGATCTGGACGATTTGCCGACTGTTTGGAAAGGAATTCAATTTACTATTGATAATGAAACTGGTAAGTCGCAATTAGCTTTGTACGGTGCTTGGTTACCAACTATTTCCATTCCCCAAGAATATTTTATTTCTTATAATTTGTTGCGCACAAACAGCGCCAGTCCAGATTTATAGACGATTCTTATCTTATCCAAGATACATAGCATTGGGCTTATATCTTTATGCTGTGTTACATTTCGCTTTCGCATATCGAAGCTGCAGATAAGTAGATGAGTTGTGTATTAAAATTGAACAACTTTTATCATTGTTCCAATATATAACAAAATATATACTAGGATTTATACGATTTTCTGCTACAGTCTGTCAAAATGGCTGCCAACTGCCGTTACTCTCTTAAGAGCAACGTAAATGGATTATCCTGCAGTTATAGCAATGTGGGAGGCAGTTAGCTTTATGGTGGGGGCTGGGATTGTGGGTTGGGGGTGGTAACGCGTGTGTTTTTGGGACGTTTTTATAAATGAATGTAGGCATTTTGAGTTGACAGGCACGAAAATTAAAAGAAAAATGGGCTTTTTCTACACTGTTAAACAAAACAACTGTTGTATATGCTTCTTATGCAAAATACTTCAGGTTGTAAGTGTGTAAAACAAAAAAAAAAATGATATATAAAAACTTGAAATCTTCAAAGTTGTTCACAATAATGTTACAATTTTTGCCATAAGCTTAAGCGTTCTTAAGCACAGTATTCCATGGAAGTCCCCTTTTCAATTATTAATAATTGTTAATTTACGTATGTTTATATTTACTTAAGTTTCTTGAGAATTACAAAAAAAAAAGTATAATCTTGCGTCACCAAAACGTGCTATCAATTTTTATTTAATAGAGTATTCTTAAATCAAGAATAAGATGATCTCGAATGGGTTTCACAATAAACCGAACATTTTTGCTATAAGCTTAACTATTTTTTAGGTACAATCTTTCAAGGAAGTCCCCTATTCAATTGTTAATAATTGTTATTTAAAATATTTTTCTTTGCAATTCAAAAATAAAATTAAATTGAAAAAAAAACGTACGAAAAGAATGTGTTAAATTAAAAGTTGTTTTTAAATACAAGTTGGGTTTACACAAAAAATGATTATGTGTGAGAACAGAGCATTGCTCAGTCTATAAATGCCGTTTGCCACATTTCTACTTGTTATATTTTGTTTTGCTCGCTCTTACCTCCCTCCAGCGCCCGCTCGACATTTCTCCACCTTCATATGCTCCATTTGTCTGATATCGATAAAGCCGCTGCTGCTGCTGTTGGCTGTTGGCTGGTTGGGGCGGGCTTTGTTGCTGCCTCTGCTGCTGGGGCTGCTAATCTGCTTGGCACCGCGCCCAATTTCATATCGAAGCGGCTGCTTTTCAAACAAACTTTGACACGCACACGAACTTTTATTATTAACAGCCCAAGAAGCGGGCCTGCGGAACTCGAGCTGGGACTGGGACTGGGATTGGGATTGAAATTGTAACTGAAACTGGGTGCTGGATGTAGCAGTGGCAGTGGCAGTGGCACAGCCAGTGGCAGTAAAAGTAGCTGCCGCCCGTCGCATGCAACATTTTTCTTTTGAAAAATGAACGAAACATGATTCGCCAAAAAATAACCGCCCAGCTATAATATATATAAATATATATACAGCTAACTGTGTGTGTGTGTGTGTGAGTATATATAGCAGAGCCAGGGTGTGCGTGTGTTTGTATAAGATATATTTCAACTTTGGCCTATAAGCTGTATATAAGGCCCTAGAGGGCTGAAAACTCACCCAAGCCAGCCCCAGCCCCGCAGTTTTCCTGTTATGGATCAGGCTTATCGAGTCCCCTGCTCCTGTGCACAGCCTGGCAGCCATTTTGTAGAATGGCCAAAGCCACCACCAGCAGCAACAGCAGCGACAGCGCCAGCATCTGCAAAGATAAGCTGCTTGTCGTAGGCAAAACGTGGCCCGTATTTGTATTTCATATATTTCATGTATATATTTATCGTTAGCTATTCATTGGTATTTTAATATATACATATATATATATTGCAGAGGGTATTTTCGACTTATCACGCAGTTTGTAATGCAAAATCAAAATCTTGATGAAATTTTGTACAATTTTCAAATTCAATTTGAAAGTGCATCTAAACTACGAATTAAATAAATCGTATAATAGTTTTATGCTAAAGTAGGTAGCAGTCAAGCATCTCTGACCCCATAGAACATATATATTCTCGATCAGAGTCAACAGCCAACTTGATCAATGTAAGTTGTCATATACTAAGCGCAGACATAGTTTATTTTAATTTATCGCTAGCTGACTCCGCAAATATCTATATATATATATCGATTTTCGATAACAATAAAAGCATCATTTAATATTTATAGCATTTTTTTTATTTATAGATCAAGTGTACCAATTTCTTCTATATCTATATGTATGTGTGTATTCTCAAGCACATTATATAATATTAGATTATATATTTTAATCGATCTAGGGAATATAACTTCAGCGCCAGACGAACATTGCCACTTGTAATCATTGATAATAATTTTTATTCATTTAAACTACAAATGGGCATTTATTAAAAGTCCACTGATGTGTTCAGGGTATCTCCAAGTCAGCGCACTCTCGACTAGAGCATTCCTACTTGCTCCCTCTGGTTATTAATAATATTTTCGTTCATTTGCACTACAACTCGCATTTAACTGGGCATTTATTAAAAATCCATTGATGCGCGCCAGCGTCGGTAAACAGCTTGGCCCGGCCTCTATGTATCCCTGAGATTAATATCGCATTCGAGACACGCATTCACACGCCTTTGTTCCAATGCGTATCCAAATTCCCCATGGAATAAAACGAATACGAATACGAATAGGTATCCGTATCTATTTTCATTTGTCGATGCGACCCTTTGCCCGAAAGCCGCCAACCTCTGCTGCTGCCGATATGCGGCATTATCTATTGTTTGGGCATTGCTTTGGGCCCGGCTACTACTACCAAAATGAAAGTCATTTTTGTATCTTTAATTTTGTTTCACTTCAATTACACCCATAACTATTGAATGCTCAGGCATGCACACATTTGAGAGAATATCGATATTATAGTTATTTATAGTTAGTTTTCTGCTGATTCTGCTTGTTCTGTGGATCACGTAGCGCGATCATTTACTACAGGTATCTTTATGTTTCACTCAGTAGTAGAGTCAGCAACTTTTCATCCATTTTACACTTACATTTTATGTCACCTTTTATTTTTTTTTTGTTTTTTGTCGAATCCTGTCGCTAATGAAGCTGTTGTCGTCGATAGTTGTAGTTTTGTAGTTGTAGCCATTGTCCTGGCACATAACGCCCTGTCATTGGCCATATGTCTTGACGAGATCCATTGTCATAATTAAGTTGCTAGCACGGCATCTTCCATTTGCTAGATTTCGTCTCGTCTTTTGTATTTTCGCTGTTGTCGTAATCAATGCTGTTTGTTTTCCTTAAGTTTTTTTCTTTCCCATTTTTCCAGTACAGTTCTTATATATATGTATAAATCTGATTACATTGATTCAGTTTGGAATTCAACCAGTTTGTCTGATTATTACTATTATTTTTTATTGTTTTTTTTTTTTTTTTGTTGGCCTCTTAGAATAATACAGTTGACAACATTTTGGAGCATGACTTGACAGTGTCCGAAATGAACAGCAACACAACCAACCAGAGTCAATAACAACAAAAATGCTCTTATTCTCAATTATGTTATAGATCTTTCGCTTACACACACACACACATATATATATATATATATATATATAGATAGCCATAAATATGGTAGCTTAAATTCCATTATGCAATCAGTTTTGGCTGCCAAGCTACGCAAGTTTATTGACCACAGCTCAAATATGTCTCTCCAAACGGCTAAAGGCCATTCACCACATGTGTGTAACATCCAAAAATGTTCATCAAAGGTCTGGCGATATTTTTCAACACTGCCCAGTACAGTTGCAACAAAAGCTATTTAGGGTTATAAAATATTTATATTAAATCTAATTTTTCATCTTTGAGCTGCTTGTGTTAGCAACGTTTGGCGCAACTGTACTGCAGTGTTGCAAAATGTCGTAACTTGTAATTGCAACAAAGAAATGAAGAAGCTTATGCAATCATCTATGAAATATTTGAGATTGGTTTTTCCTGGGTAACTTCTGTCATTTTTCATTGCACAATTTTTACCCTAAATAAAAATTATTCTGATAATTTTTGATCACTCATTTAAGTAATTTTTAATATTCACAATATTTGTCATAAACTAATAAGAATTACGAATATAATTATAATTTATATTGCCCATATTTTGAGGCGGTCTCTCTTTCTAGTTCTATATTCACTTCTAGTGCAGACAAGTTCCACTTATTGTAACGACCTCGCCCACATCTAAAAAAAAAAAAAAAAAAAAACAAAAAAAAAAGATGATGGAAATTATTATTATAAAACAGCTGGCGGCGACGGCGCACCTATTTGAGGATGCGTCTGGTGCTCCCACCATTCCCTGTCGCCCCGTCTCCCTGCCTCACTGCCTCGCTGGCTGCCTGGTTGCACTGCAACATTCAGAAACACAGTGTATGTGTGTGTGTGTGTGTGTGTGCCGCTTCCCTGCTGGCTATATTCATACGTCGTCTGTCCCTCTGTCTGTCTGGCTGTCTGCATAGAAATTGTTCAAAAATTCTACTTGGTCAGCATTACGTTACAAATTTACAAAAATTTTACATGCCGACCAAAACAACAACAGGCCAACAAACAGACACACAGACAACATCCAACAGAGGAGGGATGGAGTGCTGGAGGGAGAGGAGGAGAGGAGGGCGACTTGTGGGAGAGAGTAACTGTAGACCGGTCAGACGCACACATTTTGCTGCATAATCGTATCGCTTTCAAGTGCTTCATGGGTCTGGAGTTGAGAAGTTGCACTAACAAGATGAGCGAGCGACTCATTGCCAAAACTAGTTGAGAATTGCATAATTTCTTTAACAATTTAATTAGCCAATTGACCCAAAGTGTGAGGCTATTGGGCTTAAAAGCGAGTCTCTACAATATGTATATTATATATGTTAATTATTCAGATATGGGTTAATTTCACTCATTCATAAAGTTCATTCATCATGCCAACTCATGTAAAGTGAGGTGAAGTAAAGTAAAGCTTACGCTTCTTTTCATGTACACTGATTGTGTGTTGTTTGTTGTGTGTTGTGTTTAGTGTGTTTTCAGCAATTTCATTGTTGACACTATCGCGTTCGTTTGGTTCGTTGCCAGATCTGTCCTGTCATAATTGTTGCGTTCGAAATCTTTGTTGAGGTTATGCTCGCCATCCAAAATGCAAGTTCATGTCGTGAACCACCAACCAACACTTGCAGTCGGCAATCGCGTTAGTCTCTCGTCGTCGGTAGACAGTGTGCGAAAGTGAAAAGTCAGTGCACGAACAGTGTTGGCCAGCCACTTAAATATTCAAGTGCAATCCTAATAAGTAGCCACAATGTAATGTTGTGTGCGTGTGTGTGTGTGTGTGTGCAACACATCTCTTTCACCGGAAGCGACCTCCATTCGACAGCCATCTCTCTTCCACTCCCACTCTCTTTCGGCTTTTAGACATCTTGCTTTAGTCAATGGCGGCGCAAGCTCTTTGAGCATCAAGAGCGGGCCACCAAACAATTTAAACTAATTAAGTTGTAATGGCGCACTCGAAAAACGCTCGCAACGACGATCCAAACAATATTCGAGCTTGTCTCTCGTTCAATATATCATCATGTGGTGTGTGTATTTGTTGTGTGTGTGTACTGTGTGTTGTGTGTATCTCCATCCTAAGTTTGAACTTATGCGAGCCTCTCGAGCATTGCTGATGATGCTGCTAATTTTTTTTTTTTTTTTAACAACTCTACGCGCCTTTTTTTTGAAGTTTACCAAATCCAAACAAGAGTAGTAGTTGGTCATTATTATTATTATTATTATTATTATTGCCAGCTGCTCGCTCTTGTCTATTAGTTCAGTGGCCCACTAATGCATATATTGCCTGCTCTTTTCTTCTTTATTTCCTTTTTGATTCAAAAATATACAAAAACAACAACAGGCGCCGATTTGATTGCGTTAATTGTGTTAATTTTTGTCCAAATAAATTTGGGTGTTTTTTTTTATTGAGTAAAAATGTTGAGTACCGTTTTTTTTTTTCTTTTTTTTGGGTCAGTTTGTTGGGCTCACTAATTGGCTGGGTGTGATCAGGCGTTTTTTAAATATTATACATGCATATTTATATAAATTTTAATTTAAATACAAAAGTGCGTATTTTTTGTAGTATCTTCTGATTGAGGCACATTTTTTACGATATTTGTTTCTACCAATTTCAACAACTATTTAAATATGTAGATTTAAAAAACTTAATGAAAATCCCTTGCTGCAACAGTGAGTTCAAATTGAGCTCAAACAAATAAAAAACATTTCAGTAAAGTTTACTCTTCAAACAAGCATATATTTTCTTGTCTAAAGCAACTTAGAGATTTAGTTCAAAGCTGAATATTATATTTTTCTATTAAAAATAAATGCACTAAAAATGTGTGCAACGCTGAGCGACTTTGGCCAGGCCAAAATGGACCTGCTGAGTATATACGAAGATATGGCAACACATGTGCAGCAAGTGCTGGAGGAGGTGCAAGCAATGCCCAGCAATTGGAAGCAGAATCTGCTCAATGAACGATGTATTCGGGAACAACTTTCGAGCTGCATACACCGAATCAAAGCCATTTGCCCCATGTTGCAGCGAAAGCGCATGAAAGTTGCATTCTTTGGACGCACCTCGAATGGCAAGAGCGCCGTTATCAATGCCATGTTGCACAAGCGAATCTTACCAAGTGCCATGGGACACACGACAAGCTGCTTCTGCCAGGTGGCAGCCAGCAAGAGAGACGAGCCAGCTCATGTGCTGATTGAGAATGGAGACGGAGACAAGTTGAGCATCGATTGCCTGCGGGATTTGGCCAGTGCACACTCAACTGGAGCACTGACTGCTCACAGTTTGCTCCATGTGCGCTTTCCCAGCAGCAGCGGTGACTTACTCGCTAACGATGTGGTGCTGCTGGATACGCCTGGTGTGGATGTCACTGCTCAGTTGGATGAGTGCATCGATAGACACTGCCTGAATGCAGATGTCTTTGTGCTTGTCCTGAATGCCGAGTCGACCATGTCGCGGGTGGAGCGACAATTCTTTGAGCTGGTCGCTCGGCAGTTGTCACGACCCAATCTCTTCATATTGAACAATCGCTGGGATGTGGCTGCCACATTGGAGCCACAGCTGGCGGAGTTGGTGCGTGGACAGCACACACAGCGCTGCCTACAGCTGCTGATCGATGAATTGGGCATTTATGACAACCTGGACTTGGCCATGCGACGCATCTTTCATGTGTCCGCTATGGAAACGTTGCGCCACAGAGAAAAGCAGGCGACGCATATTCATGCCCCAGGTGCGCAGCAGCGTTACGAGGAGTTCCTTAGCTTTGAGCGTGAGTTTGCCGCATGCATTACGCAAAGCGCATTGAAAACCAAATTCGAGCAGCATTGCGTGGGTGCCACAGAGATGTTGCACAAGTTGCACGAACTGCTGCAGCAGCTGGCCACATGTTTGGCCCAGTTCGGCGAGCAACAAAGCGCCGCTAAAGTTGAGCTGAGCAAAAAATACGATGGCTGGCAAGTGGAAAGCGTGCAACAAAAGCAGCAAATTCAACTGCAAGTGGCACGGCTCAGCGTGGAGACTTCCAAGCTTGCCGCACAGTTGTTGCACGACCAAATCTTGCGTCTGCCAGCTGCTGTGCACCACTTCCAGCTGCCCCTTCACCCACACCAGCCACAATATCAACGCTTGCTTGGCATTCATTTAAAACGTGAGCTCTTCGAGCCGCTGGAGTCGCAACTGCAGCAACAGTTGCTGCAACTTGTGCAGCCCGCAACTGATGAGGTGCCACAGCAACTTTATTGCTCCCTCGATTGTCAAACATTAATGTGTGATTTTCATGCCGATTTACAATTTCGTTTCTCCTGGGGCATGGCGGCCATTTTGAAGCGCCTACAGGACAAGCTGCCGCTGCCAATGCTGCCGGCGCCAAAGTCGTTAAATGGCTTGAAGCAGGAGCAACTGAAGTCTAAAGCTGCCACAGATTACTGGCTCTTGCATACGGATGGCTCGTTGGGCGCCATGTTGCTGCTCAGTGGAATCCTGGCACGTACGCTCGGCTGGCGTTTGCTGCTCGGACTGAGTCTGGTGACTGGCTCCTTTTATGCCTACGAGCTGATCAGTTGGACGCCACAGGCGCAGGAGCGCAGTTACAAGGCACAATATACGCGCCACATGCAGCGTCGCCTGCGCGAAAGTGTGCAACAAACGGCAACTGGTTTTAGCCAACAGGTGCAACAACACCTGACGCACTCAATGCAACAGCTCAGCGTGCAAATGGATGAGAATCGCCAGGAATTAAACGACGAGTTGACTGGACTCGAAAACCAATTGAAATCGCTTCAAAACTGGCAAATTAAATTAAGGCAACTGCAAACGGAGGGCGACGCATTAACGCAACGTTTGCGGCTCTTTAAGCAGCGTTACCTGGCAGAAAACTAATCGAGTTCTACATAAAAGAAGGAATTTGGCTGCACTGCAATTATATTCACAAATGTCTTGCAATTCTACATAGAACAAATGACATGGGAGTTGTTTTATGCATTTTTTATTATTTCTATATATTTTATGCGTTTATTTAAAATATAAATTTGCATGCGAACTTTAAAAATGTTTAGTTGATTTCTGATTGCTTTGGAAAAGTTGCTTTCGATAGTTAAAGTTGTTTTTTTAACTTTAGTAATAGTTAAAAGATATTTGGTCTCTCAAAACTTTGAATATTTTCTTTAGCAGTTCTTTCTTCTTCGACTTGAAAGTAAGTTTTGGCCATGCAGTACATTTGCTGAATTTGCATTAGCCAATTAAATGTTACCAATTAAAAGTTGCCTTTTGCTCTATTTATAGAAACCGCTTTATCCTGCCGCCTTTTTTTTAGAGCACACTCGCAACTTTAATTACTTGATTAGATCGTGTGTTGTTTTTTTCAAGCCCCCCATCCGTTCAACACGAAAAAAAAGTTGTAAAGCTGAAAACGCGTCAAATAGAACAGAGCAAAAACCAGTTTTGAAGTTTTTTTTTTTTTGTTGGTTTCTTCTCAAGAAGCGAACAGCGTCCATGTTAGCCGCAGCAGCAGCAGCAGCAAAGCGGGCCAAAAGCAAAAGTAACAAAAATACATAGAGCTAAGCTCCGCCTCTCTACATACACACACACAGAGACACACACATGCATGCAAACATTTGCTGCTTTGGTGCGCATGAACAAAGGCTGCGTCGCAGCAGCAGCAGCAGTAGCAGCAGCAGCATTGGATTGCTGCTTGCACACTCACACACATACACAGTGAGAGGAAGTTTATAGAGTTGTCTCGCTCGCACGCGTACACGTTGCGCCTGTGACGATGGCAACGCCATTTCTCTTTTGCTTAAGCGTCGCTGCTGACGTCGACAGCGACTGCGGCCGCCATGGCTTGAAGCCGCCGTCAAGCCATTTAGAATCGTATTTGAATTTTTATAAACGCTCGAGAAACGCTCAACGCTTGACGCGCGCGCTTTGCTACCAACGAACAAAAAATAAAAATAAAAAAAAAGAAAGAATTTTGGCTCAAAGAGGAAGAAGAAGAATAAGCCACGTTTGTGCTGTGTATTGTGGTGTTGTCTGTTCAGTGTGTGCTTGCATAAGAAGCCAAATAAAACCAAAAAAAGAAGGACTTTTGAGCACAGAAAGTCAATGGATTTTGCTCTTGGCAACAAACTGCATAAAAACTGTGTCCCACAAAATTCCCATACATATGTATTTTGCACACATGCAATTATGCATAACAATTAGTGCAACTACATAACCACAACGTGTGCGAAATACAAAAGTGAAAGTCACATCAAAAATAATACACGCAAAGTTACTCAAACTGTTAAACAGGGCGCAACTTACAGCCAACAATAGCGCCTAACAAACCAAAACCGAGCGCTGAAGTGTCCATTGTGCGATTCTAAAAAAAATCAGCGACAACGCGACCAAAAAAAAATAAAAACAACAAATTCAAACCAAACATCAAAAAAAAAAAAATACAAAAATTATCAACTTCATTTTCAATATCGAACAATCAAATTGTGCAAATAGTCTAAAGCGGAAACTTGTTGTTATAGTTGTGTTGCTGTGTTTGTTGTTGTTGATTCTGCAACGACATTATATAATTGTCAAAGATACGTAAAACTAACAGCAACAACAACAACAATCGAACAATCAGCGCGTTTATTGCAACAATTTTGTGTTCAATCTGCACAACAAAGGAAAGAAAAAGAAAAAAAACCCAATCCAATTCACAATTTTGACTGCTGTTGCCTTTGTTTGGATTACAACAAATATTTCATATTGCAATATTGCATGAAGAAAAGGTTTGTACACACACACACCACACACCACCATTCAAGCGATTCGCCACAAATCTATCGACTTGACCGCATTATTTTGATTCGATTTTGTCAGCTAGTCATCACTTGATTTACAACTTTGCTGTCAGCAGTGTCTACAGCATTTGCTTGTGCGTGGGTTGTGCACAGATATTGTAATAGGCTGCCACAACTGTGAGTTGTCTGCTCTTCTCTGCTAATTTCTGAGACATTTGCGACTTCAACTTTTATAGAAAATATGAACGCAAGAACGGTTCTTAGCTGTGCTAACTGCGAATGTCAAGCTAGCTTTGTCTTTAAAGGTTTATTTAGTTAGGCCTTACCCCTTCCAATTCCAAATAAAAAAGACCAAATTGCGCTAAAGTCACAATTTATTTACCTAATTATTCAAATCAGAATAGCTTCAAAAACATTTTTGTTAAGACTTCCTAACAAAAAAGAAGGTTTTTTCTTGTTATCATAAACGGTTTTTAGTTTTCAACGTTTTTTCTTAATTGTGTTAAAGAGAATCTGGTAAAAAGAGTCAGTTCACTGAAATTTATCTGAGCGCAAAAATCTAAAAGAATATATTAGCTAAAATCATCTTAAAGAACTTCGTATTTATGCAAATACTTGTATACTTTATAAGAAGACATAGAAGACCTCAACCCAACAAAGATCCTCGTATTCGTGCGGGAGTTGGGGCTGATGGAAGAGCTATAAGCTCAGAAGAGGGCACAATAGATCATATAGGTCGCGGTGCAGTTTTCCCCCCTAGTAATAATAATAATACTTTATAAGGAAAGAATTTCACGTTTAGAAATTTGGTTTCCGTCGCATAAGCGGCAGAAATAAATATTTATAATCAAAGTCATGTTATATTCACCAGTTTACGAGAACTTTTCTAGAACTGTGGACAAGTACAAGCTGTTTTCTTTCTAACTGGTTTTTCTTTTATTTTATATATAGCTTGTTCACCATATGTGTGAAGACTTTGACTTATGATGAGTTGAAATTGATTGGGTTCGTGTTTGGGTCAAATACCTGCTGTTCTGGCCAAACTATTGCTATATCAGTATCTGAATTAGTATTCAGTTGATCATTCAATAGTTATTTGAAGGAAAAGCTCTAAAACAATTTAGTTGACCACAACTTTTATTAAAATTTCTTTTAATGTTTAAATACATGATTCGTTGGCTAAACGAAGCGATTATCGATGGATTTCAATGCGGTCAGCATTTGTTTATCACGTTTAGTTGCCATAGAATCTGATATTGTGATTGGCCCCACCTTCAAGTAATACTGACACGCCTAAGCACAAGTGTCTATTGGCTTAAGTGTTCATGGAATGAAACTTCCTGAAAGGTAACTAAAAATACATGGCTCAGACCAAAAATAAAAAAGAAAAAAGTGTGTTCCATCAACGCCTTTCAACCACAAATGACGGATATATTATTAAGCCCTAAACGCATACAAAAGTCCAACACCTTTTTTGGGCCTGTTGTCGCTTAATTGCTGGTGACAGACGGTAGACACACACACACACACACAGGCATGCACACACACACATAAAGAAAACACAAATCGAATAATATTTTTATAGACATTTTACAACAATGCGGGCAAGCCAAGCAAAACATGCAGCAGGCAACATATTTGCTAGGAGACAAACAACAAGCCCAAAAGCGATAAGCAAACAGTTAACACACACACCACACACACACCTCACACACACACACACATCGTCAAATTACTAGGCGCTGTTGTTTTGCTGAACATTTTATGCCTCTGCCACAAACTGTTACCAAAAAAAAAAAGAAAAAAGAAAAGTTGGGAAAAAAAGAACAAATTAAATGCCTGGCCTAAAATAACAGGGCTAAGACCCAGAAACAACATGGCCAACACAGACACAGACAGCCGTTGTATTAAGCCACAAAATGGTCGCAAACGGGATCGGGCAATCGGACTGTATTTTGTAACCAATCGTAAGAATAACATATAAAACGGGCCAACAAAATAAAAACGAATTGTTCCAGCCATGTTTATTCTAATTTTCTGACCCTACTCAAGTGGGCTCCGAACCCGGGCAAAGGTCGTGAGCGTCGTCACAGCACTTGAGCCCACAAATTTCTCTTCTTCTTCTTGTTCTCATTCTTGTTCTTCTTGTTCTTGTTGTTTTTTTCGTTTCCACCACATTTTTATCTAGATGTGTTTGCCCACGAGTATTTTTCTTCTTTTTTTTTTTTAGGTCAACTCCTCTGAGCCATATTTATTATTTAGTCTGGTACTCGAGCTACTACCACTTTTGGTTTACCTTTCCATGGAATTTTCGGGCGATGTTAAGTAGTAATTTTCTGATAATGTTCCCTTTCTCTTGATGCCCTGCTCGTTTCCCCATTTCTTTTTTTTGTTTTCGTTTTGTTTGGCCAAATGCAAATATTTAACTGAAGTCAATATTTGTTTGCTTAGTTCTCGTCTATATATCAATCTATTGTAAGCGATACAGAATTGGTATGTGGGTGCGTTTAATATTTGATTTTGATTGTGTTTAACACTCGATTTCGGAGCTGTCAAAACGCATCATAAATTAAGCATTTATTTATTGGCATTTCTGCTTTTTTTTTAAATATTTTTCTTGACCATTTTTCAGCTGCTTCCGTCAGACGATCTTTTTTTGTTTTTGTGCACATTTTTGATTAATGATTGTTGGCCATTTATCGTTGGGATCTGTTTAATTCCACTGGGAAGTGGCTACTGGTTTTATCCTTCAATGGGTCGATCTCCTGGGAGCTCAAAAATTGTTGTTACTCTAGAGAATTTTTTGAGAGAGTTTGCATTTTCTAACGATCAAAATATTTTCGTATATTTACAAAAATTGTTCTTTGTTCCAAAAGTATTTCGTTTATTTGGGAATGGAATTTGTTGTGTGCAGCCTCTCTAGGGGTCAGCCAGTCTTATCCACATTTATAGTATTATTCAATTGATTTATGCCAAGATGACTTGACTTTAATGCTTGATCGTTCTTGCCACCCACAGGTGAATACATACGCTTACCGTTGGATGAGTTGCTCAACGACGTGCTGCAACAACTTCCACTCGAAGACGAGGAGGTAAGTTTTTAAGTCTCAAATAGTCGGGTTTTTTGAAAACTTCAACTAACTTTCTTTTATTTTCATGTTGGTTAACTGTTCAGTTAGTGAACGATTCGGTTGCATCCACATCGCAGGCTGCTGCTGCTGCCGCTTTGGGCAGTCAACCGGCGACGCGTATTGTTTCGGAGACTGGTGAAGATTTATTATTTGGATCCGATCCGAATCTTAAGTGCAGCGACAAGGATAACGAGGCCAGTTTCTCTTCGAGTGATTTTGAGGATCTGCAGGATTCGGTCGGTTCGAATCTGTTCGATTTAGATGAGGAGTCCAAAAAGGAATTAGATGAAATGTTGCAATCCACAGCACCGCCATACCATCACGGCCCCCATCCCCATGCCCATCACTCGCACCACCATGCTGCCGCCCACCATCATGCCCACCATCAAGCGGTGGTTGCCCACCAGCGAGCGGTGCAGGCGAGCGCCAACTATGCCAGCATGGGCAGCTCCACCGGCAGCGCCTTTCAGCGTCAGCCGCCAACTCCAGCTGGATTCCATCATCAGGTAAGCCAAAACAATACACAACAACACTCCAAGAAAAACGCTGTCTTCAGCGATACATTATTCTTATAGTTTTAGCTTCAAAATATCTGTGTAAGTCTTCAGTTTACTTAACTTAACTAGAAATACTCTACAAATAGATGTAGTTTCTTTGGTCCACGTTGTCTAAATTTCTACTTGTTTTCAGCACCAAATTCTCAATATTTTGTTTGAGTACCTTTATCCTAATCCTGCCAAACTGGCGGATGCGCAGCTTAAAGTGTATATGTATATATGTATGATCTGTAGTATATAGGTATACATATATATATAAATGACCATTTCAAGGATCATTTGCACGTCGTTTTGGAGTGCTTTTTTGTTGTTGTTGTTGTTGTATCCATCTTTTTTGCCTGATTCTTGCTGGCTTTTTTCACGTGCTCTCCGTTCTCGAGCACTTGATCTTGGGCTCTGATGTTGCTCTCCACGCTGTTGTTATTCATTTTATTATTATTTTTTTATTTCGTTAGCTGTTTGTCTGTTTGTACAAAGCTTCAAATCTGGTTGTATACTATATCCAATCCCCCCTCGTCCCCCTTCGTCTGTCCTCTTCAGTCATCCGCTGACTGCCTTCATCCGTTCCGTTTCGTTCCAGCCACATAAGTTCGTCAATCTGTTGCTGGTTGTCTGCTTTTGGCTTTTGTTGTAACTGCCTCATCAAAAAGATTGAGGCGAGCAATGTGGAAACATATAAAATATATACAATTGTTGTTGCCTCATCTTTGGGTGCTACCTACAGAATTGTTGTTGCTGTTGCTGTTGTTACTGTTGCTCTTCAGCTGCGCTCAAGCCTTGTAAAGATTCTTTTAGGCTGCGCGTCCCTCACGATTTGTGTCTGTGATCTGTGGTGCTTTTTCTGTTGCCTTGTTTGCGTAGCTGTAGCTGCAAGCCAGTCTGATACCCGCCCCCTCCCCCTCCATTCCCTTGGGCCACATTCTTGATACAATTTCGATTCGATGCAAAATGTGAGTCACATTTATATAATTGAGGCAGCAACTGTACTGCTGTATATATATATATATATATATACCATTTAAACAATGCTTTTTTGAGCATTTTTATAATATAAAAAATAATAACAACTTCAAACAGAAGATTTTATATAGCAGTCATCATATTTATCATTTGAAATACATATTTGAAATACATATTCGAAATATCGCTTGAATTATGAAGGAATTTTGAATATAACTTGCTAGTTGTTTCTTTCATCTGAAGCAATAAATGTTAAAATGATTTTGCTTACTGATTCTTAAACAGTTTAAAGACTAGATTAAAATCAAATACAAAACTTGCACTATGTGTTCGATAAGCTACTTTGAGCTATTTATTTGGGCTTAAAGCGGCTGTTAACAGCTCATAAAGTGTCTGTTGGCCTAATCCCAACACAAATCCAGCTAAACAAGTGCAGCACGAATCAAACCACACAAAACCGATTTGTTTGTCGACTGCTTCAATGAGTTTGCCGGCTAAATAGACAGACTGAGTTTGGTTTTCGGCCAACGAACGCATGCGCATGCATCTAATGAAGCCAGACAATGCGCGAACGAACTATTCAATAGATGCCTGACGAACTGTCAGTTGACAACAGATACACAGATACAAAGATACACAGGCAGAAGCAGTCATGAAGTCAGCGGCAATTACGGTTAAAGTCTTTGCCGCCTGTGCATGCTGTGGTCAGCCACAAAACGGATTAAAGACGAGACGATCCCTTTACCTCCCAGGCACCTCTGTTCGTATCCCTATTCCTAGTTGGGTTGCCCGTTGCCCGTTTGGTTTTTGTGAATGCACAGCAGGTTGTCTGTGTGTGTCTGTGTGTGTGTCGGCTACTTGTGTTGCACTTGCCATAAAGCCACTTTAATGAGCCAGATGATCTGTTTTGCCACTTTCGCAGGAAGCGCTTGCAAATCCGTTATGGAATTTCCATTGCACTCCACCTTCTCTCTCTCTCTCTCTCTGTTTGTCTCTCTCTGTCTGTTGGCCAGAAAGCATCATTAGGCAATCTACGGCGGCCTTATGCGACATGTCTCGCTGATAGTCACTCTTTTTTCAATCTTGATTATGATTATGTAATAGTACTATGTGCAAAGTGTCAGCTTCCTGATAACATTTATTTTGCCATTTGTGCAAGCTGCCCCATAGCCATCTCTTACCCCACCCCTGCCCCTTTGCCTCTTGGCTTTTGCTAATTGCAATCACAATACAAAAAAAAAAGAAACGAAAAAAAAAACAGAAATAAAAACGTTGGCTTAGCTGCGCGTTCATTAATGTCGCTTTTGTTGCAGTTTATTGTTGTTGTTGTTGTTGTCGCCACTTGACTTTTTCCGCGTGGCAAAGTGTTTATTGAATTCGGTGGCACTCTGCCCCCCCCCCCTCTCGCTCCCCCACGCCTGATCTTCTGTCTTCTCCCCTGCCAAGTCTTGATTACAGCTCTTGGTATGGGCTCTTTAACTGCGACTGCAGACGCAGTAGCTCCTGCAATTAAATCTCCATTTAGCAAGCGCGCTGGAAAAAAAAAAGTATCTTTTAATGCCATGCATCAGAGCCCTTCCCTTGCCCCCCTCGCTAGCGCCTTAATCGCTGCGCTCAGCTTTAATTATGTGAATTTTAAATATTTACAAAAAGCTTAGCGCAAAAGCGCAACAACATAAAAAAAAAAAAATACAAACAACGCAAAAAACTTTATTAATTATTTTACAGCATCTTCGAGATTTTTTTTCCTTTTTTTGTTGTTGTTTTTTGTTTTTTGTTGTGCGCTCTTGAGATTTCTTCTGGTTGTGTGTATGTTTTTAATTCAATTTTATGGCTGTCGCTGTAGTCATGAGACTCGTTTTGCGCACACATAAATCAAATTAATGACAAAAGAAAAACTAACAACAACAACAACTGCGATCAGAGATGAAGGCAGAGAGTCTTGTAAAACTACACTAAACTGAACAATGAACTTGGCTAGTAATGTGTGAGATATGGAGAAAGTCGCCAGAGAATTGAATGCATTATAAAAACATTAATCGCTGTCTATTCAAATATAATAACACTGAATATTAAACAATAAATTCAAGTTCACAGAGCGATTGGCCTAAATGAAGTAACCAGTGAATGATTCAAATGGGCCAAATAGGTTATAATGAAGTTGGCCAAAAGTAGGTAAGGTTTAGAAGGTGGCATCTCCGAGACCATTAAGTATTATATTATATTATTTCTGAATAGATTTTAAATATATATACCACATCCAAGTTAAGAGTATCTCCTAGTCGAACTCTCTCTCTCTCTCTCTCTCTCTCTCTCTCTCTCTCTCTTTCAACTATGTAATTTCATCATAAAATATATAAAGTACCAGAAAAGAAGCTACTTACCAATTAAATCTTTTGGCGTAGTTCAACATGGCCAATTAGTAAAGCATTTTATCAAGATCGATTAATGCGATACGTAATTGGCAACAATAGTAGGGGTATTCACAACAAGACGCCAAGCAATACAATGAAATTTAATGGAGCTTACTTAGAGTTTCAATATGTTGGTGATTTCTGCCTATGATAACAAAGAGCTATACACAGAAATTGGCAATTATCTGTTAGCCCTTTGCTTGTGTATCATTTTGTGCCAAGATTATATATGCAAAACGAGAACAATATTATATATATTTATATATTTGACTAATCCTAATCATATTTATTGGTTTTTGATTGTGTTCATGCTGCTTCTAGTTAACCCGCTTAGCTAATTACTATATTTAAGTTTGTAAGCCTCCCTCAAAAGTTTCGAAAAGTTCTCAGGCAAGCAACTTGAAAACAAACGGTGCATTGACAATTCCAGTTCTAACTATAACGGCACAATAAATAACAAACTCTTAATGAAAGAATTTGGTAACGCCTTAAGTATGTGTGTTTGTGTGTGTGTGTGCATCTGTTTAAGTGTGTAGCTACCGTATCTAAGCCGCTGTAGTTTGATTTGCTTTGCGTGTGAAACGCGAGACAAACAATGGCCAGTAGCTGGCCAAGCTAACACCAGAAGTTAATGACAAGACAGTGACAATTGAAATTACACACACACCACACACACACACGCACACACAACACACACAGCAGCAGCAGCAGCAGCAGCAGCAATCGTTGTGCATGCAACTCTGGGCAAAAGTAAACGCCCCGTTTACCTGTCTGTTGTCTGGCTTTGCTGTCTTACCTGTTTGCCGCTCAGGAGCGTGTTGAGGCATATATTAGATTTACAAACCTCTCACACACACACACACACACAAATGCATAAGTTTGCTTGTGCAGCCTCTCGCTCTCTCGCTCTCTCTCTCTCTCTCTCTCTTGCCTGCATTCGCTTTGGATTTGTAACTCGGCAAATGTATCTGCATCTGTATCTGCATCTGCATCTGTATCTGTGCGCTGTCTGTCAGTCAATGCTGTCTCTCAGTCGAAAACAACAACAGCAACATCAGCAACAAGTCAACGTCAACGCGCCAAGGAGTCAAAGTCGCAGTCAACGCTCAACGTTCACCGGTTCAGTTGAGTTTCGGTTCAAGTTTCGGTTCCCGCTCGTTGCTCGTTTTCTTGTTGCTTGTTCCATTTGGCACCTACTATTTTATACTTGTTGGATATCGGTACGTTTATTGATATTTATCTGCAACTCAATCTCTCAGACTCAATGTCAATGCCGGGCCGGTAACGGACCGCATCCTCCGTCGAGTGCATCAGCATCAACGTCACGTTTTGGGGCAATGTTTGACGCCTCGGCTTTTAGCGCTTAATTGCGGCAAATTGTTTCTGAGAATTCCCTCCTCTCTCGCTCTCGCTCTCTCTCTCTCTATCTCTCTCTCTGGATCTTCTCTGTGTGTGTGTGTGTTAATGTATGTGCATATATATTGTGTGTTGAGTTGCCTGGCGCCCACGCCTCACAGTATGCAATAATGGTTGCTTGGAGATGGAGATGGCGAGAGAGAGAGAGAGAGACATCTACTGGAATTAGTTGTACAAATAAATAAACCAGCGCCATAATTAAGAATAACAAAGGCTAAACTAATGAAGTCATACGCTCACAGCACGAACTGTCGATCATATATTGATGCAAGATATACAAGTTAACAGATACCAGATACCAAACACCAAAGTACCACAAACAGATACAAATACGTATTTAGAGATACGGGCCAAAAACCTTTTTTTCACAACGACCGCTGACTGCGGCACTTGTCAAAAATTGAACAGATACGAATTTTTATTTCAATTTCATGTTGATCGATCTTTTCGAGTCCACCAAAATCGCCAGATTGATACATTGTGCACGTTTTTTTTTTTTTTTTGGCTTACAGACGTGGCCCAAACAGCAGACAGACAGCATTCAAGTCAAGTTTTTACTTGCAGCGCAATTTGAATTTAGTTTTTTGATTTTTGTTTATTTTGTGTGTATGTTTTTTGTTGTTGGTTTTTTGTACTTATTTCGTGCCTTGTCTGCGGCTTATTGTTGTTTATTTCTAGAGAATTCCGTAAACGGGGCTCTCGCATGATTGATCGCTTATTTATTAGTATATTTCTCAACTCCCAATCGAGTCTCTCTCCTCTCTCTCTCTCTCTTCCTCTTTGTAAACCCTTCCCGGCCTGTTAATACATCAACACACAATTTGGAGTTGTTTTTTTTTTATTTATTTATCACATATTAATCATATTCACTTTACTCACAATTTGATTTTTGATTTTTTGCAGGGCCGCATGCAGCGCTTGAATCGTAGCGTCTCCATGGATCTGGCCACCTATTTCAGCCCCATACCGACCATGGGCGTGGTCGGTGGAGTATCCGATATGCCGCCGTATGCATCCCACTACACCGGCTACTCGTATCAGGGTCCAACTGGCGCTGCTGCTCCAGGAATGCCACCCAGTGCTGCACAGCAATATGGACAGGCTGCTGTTGCAGCACCATCTTTGCCGCCACCGCCGCCGCCGCATCACAGTCACGGACACAGTCACGGTCACCATGCGGCAATGTTGCATGCGAACTCCACTTTGGGCGATCTCTGCTCCAGCCAGCCGCACTATGGCCACAATCTCGGCTCTGCGGTCTCATCCAGCATGCATTTGACCAACGCCAGCCATGAGGCTGATGCAGCTGCCTCTGCTGCTGCCGCCGCCGCTGCCGCAGCTAGTAGCAACTACAAAATGGAACATGAGATGATGTATTATGCGGTAAGTGATCATCATCGGATTTGATCGAACACAATTTGGTATTTACATGAGTGGTGTTGTTTACGATTTATGATTTTATTTGCAGAACACCTCGTCGGACATGAATCACACGGATGGCCTAATGAATTCCTTTTTTAACGATGAGGATCTCCACTTGATGGATATGACGGAAAGTAAGTGATGACTAATTCCCCATGCAATCAATCATTTAATCAATTGATAAGTAATTGCTGATCTTATAATAATTTTGATTAAGATCTTTCGATAGTCTAGTTCTCAAATTTAAAAGTTAACACCTGTTTGCCTTATCTATACTATTAAGTACTTAAAAAGTCAGGCATCTTTTTTTGGCGATGACGTCAGCTGTTCATAAAACTTAATCGCCAGCAAAAACATTTCGGTTTCTGAGGTGAATCTAATGCGCAAATATTATTTTTATTTTAATTTCTAAATACTAATTTGAATTTTCTCAAATGGCTTTGTCCACACATCCAATATTATCTAAACTTGTGGAAATTATTGTTCTCTTTGATTGCAAACAAAAATACTCAACTCTAATTTTTCATTACCACCTTTTAACACGTACGATTCAAGCTTCGAAAGCTTAAAGCTATCGCCGTAGAGCTTTAAATGTTATCAATTGCCAGATATGCAGTCTTTTTTTCTTATTAAGAACCGCTATCTGCAGCAGTTCTCAGTATCTGCTAATTTGATTTCATTAATTATCAACAATTAATCCACTTAATTTTATTATTATTACGTGAAGAGGACATATTTATTATGTGTAAGCAATCAGCATACTCATTCTAAATCAGCTTGAATTGTTTAATAATTATAAGACGAACAAAAACTGAGAGTTTATTGCAAAAGTCAGAGCCTCAGACGTTTTAGTCAGTTGGAGTCACACCCACATGCGCTGCTGGCTTAACTCGAGAGCTTTTACTCCAGAACATCACTCAAGTTGAGCGCAGGCAGAGACAACGGCAACAACAAAAAGCGTGCGTAAGCTAAGCAACAAAAACACATAGACTGACGGTCACATACACAAACACACACACACACACCAACGAATGAGTGTATAAAGAACTCGCAAGTTTTTTTTTTGACTGTCGCTGTTGCTGTTGGTGTTGGCATATTTGGCTGTTTCGGCTTTCCCTTCTCTACACTGCCTTACCGTATTTTGATTAGCATAAAATTCGTAAAATTAGTTTAAATTTGAGTGAAAAACGCTTGCTCAGCAGCGCGAGCTCAATCGTTGCCTCAATCGGCTCGTTCCGTCCGCTCGTGTTTCGCGCTCATTTCAGGCGAAAAAAAGAACACAAAAAAAAAACGGCAATGAGTATGAGAAAAGCAAAGCAACAAGAACGCCGCACGAATCCGAGTCAATCAGTCGAACACGAACAATCGAATACGATAGTGAAGTAAATATGTACAAATGTACATAAAATATAATAAATACAATACAAAAAATACCAAACAAAAGTTATATAAAAGAAAACGATTACGTGCTCTAAACGTGACATGGAAACTAGTATAATTAACATAAATTAATGAATAATATTTTTGATGATAAATGAAACGTAAAGCAAAATCACACCAAATTGTATATAAATCTACATATATATATGTATATATATATATATATATAGGTAAATTACGAATTTAGAACATTTGATGACGCGCGAATAATGTATTTGTATGAATCAAAAAAATAAACGCAAAATTCGAACAACAAACTTAAAATAATCGAGCACATTAACAACGAACACGAGAAACAGCCCCAAAAACGGCTGCCCAGATCAGAATAAATAGTAGAGGAGAATCAACAGGTGAGAGTGTGAAAATGAGCAGCATAATATTTGATAGCGCTGCTAAAGGCGGCGCCCCCTCCTTGTTGAGCGTGTGTGTGCGGGTGGTGGCCGCCAGCGCAGCAGTGTGTTTTATTTTTATATGCTCAAGCGAAATAAATAGAAGAAGGGGCATCGAAAGCCCGAAAACCCATTTAAATATTTGCCGCGTAACAATTTTTTTCATTAGTCATGCTGCGCAAACAGCTCTGCTGCTGCTGCCGCGGTGGCTATTGCTGCTGCTGCTGCTGCTGATATCAGCAAAGTTGCGCGCAGCGAACGATCGACGACGACGGCAATGTTCTTAAAGCGCTCTCTCTCGCGTTCTCTCCCTCAGTTTTTGGCACTCTCGTGAGCGATACACGCTCATCCATATTACACACGTACATACGTACTCTCTAATGCGCGCTCAGCAAGTTTTTTTTTGCCGCTGTTGCGCTGTTTACTATTTTTAAACTGCTGAGTCATCTGTTCGGAGCAATAACGTTAAAAGCACAATATCACAAAAATACAGTTGCACGATATCATTGAGTTATTCGATGTTTTATTCTAGCGCGCTCAATTTACAAATTTGTATGTATTATGTACACATGTATCGTGTACTAATTGTCACATGTTTCCACCCTCGCCATTTCCTTCTTCCATACTCTCTCTCTCTCTGTAGTCATTGCATTTTTGGCATTCGGAATTCGGCAAAGAAAAATGAAATTACGTTATTGGGTTACGTGTTTACGTTATCGTTGCGCTGTTAGACAAAGGCAAGTGATGTACGCTTGTCGTGGCGCGGTTAAAACGTGCAAAACTTTTAAAGTTATCTATGTATGTATGTATATATAACTTCCGTTATTAGTCTGGATGGCTCTGTTGATTTTGAGCATGACATGTTCCAGGGCGTTGTCTACACATGATGTGTACGTGTGTTTGTGTATGTAGGTATGTATGTATGTATGTATGTAGGTATGTATGTATATATGTATATATGTAGGTATGTATGCATGCACTCTCTTGTCCATTCACTGATAACTTCGACCTACAATGTTGTATAGTATTTTGCCTAGTCATCAATGTTTATGGGCTTGACCTTGCGCCATGCCGGTAGACCAGACGTACTTATAGACTATGTATACTTTATATATAAATAGTATAAATGTATGTACTTATAACAGGTTAGCTTAATCAGCTCACATTTGGAATAGTGAATAATGAAGCGAGAATTGGTTTTAATTGCGCGTCGCCGCAACCCATTGTGATAATGATTGTGGCAGTGCCAGTGGCAGTGCCAGTGGCAGTGGCATAGTGGAGCAGTTTTCACATATCTTATCAGTTTGATGGGCTTGCACATTTAGCTGCTGCTGCTGCTGCTGCTGCTGACATCTCTGCACAAATTCGTGCGTCACAATTATTGTGCTGACAGCGGAAACCGAAGCCAAGCCAGACATACAAAAAAATAAAAATAAATAAAAAAAAAAGCTAAAATTTAATAGATTTGAGATGAGTCTTAGTACAGTAACAGCTCCGGAAATGAATTAGGAATTGGTCAAGATTTTAATTGAATGCTCTAACTCATTAAATATTAACTTGCACATTTATTTATTTTTTAAAAGCAATAATTTAATAAATATTATTTATATATTTAAAATTGTCATAACTGAAACTAGAATAATTCACACATTCACAACTCGAACGGAAACATTCTACAATATTTTCAAATATCATAGCCAAAATGAAGAAATATTTCGTGTGAACATAATTAAAGCATTACATATAAAATCACATGCTTCAGCGCACAAAACGATAAGATAATTTTTCAAGAACAGCTAAAACAAAAAAAATAACTAAATAAAATAGAGCAGAAGATTAAAGCGATTCCAAATGAATGTGCAACATTTAATGTTGTGTATTTATTTGTTAAAATCATCATTAAGTTCCTGTTATTATTCGTAGCTTGTCAAACGAATGTTTTATAGCTTTTCAAGAGGTTGCTGTTTAACATATAAATGCTAAATATATAAAAGAAAAATAAATTTAGAACACATCTTCCGCTCACGTATACATTTTGCGATGTAGCAGATACACATATATATATATATACATATATATATATATACATATATATATATATATGTATAAATGGAATGGAAAGTAAGACGTTGGAAATATGTTAGGCGCACTGCTCGCTGGCAGCCTCTAGCGATAAGCCAAGTCCCAATTGATAAGCTGATAAGCAACGTAAAATGATTGCACACTTTTAACATAAGCGTTTTGGTGTCTTTTTGTATGTCGCTCGATTCGCCCAGAATAATGCTGAATAATCAAACCGATAAGATATTGCTATAGATTCAAGTACAGTGTGCGCTCGCCAAGTCAAATTTCATTTGTTTTGCTGCTGTGTCTAATCGATATGTTTTTTGTTGTTTTACAGGTTTCTGTCGCATGGTGGACAACAGCACAAGCAACAATTCATCGGTGCTGGGTCTGCCCAGCAGTGGACATGTCAGCAACGCGGGCAGCTCAACATTGAATGGCGGGAGTCATGCGAATCCCAATAGTGTAGTTGCTGTTCCGGGTGCTATTGTTGCTGGTGGCATCACATCGATGAGTGGTGCAACAGGAGCTGCTGCTGGTGCCGCTGCTGGGGTCGTTGGTGCCACTGGTGGCATGACCAGCGATCTATTGGCCAACGCTGCTGCTGGCGCTCAGGGTGGTGGTGGTGCACAGGATCGCTTGGACGCGTCCAGCGACAGTGCCGTTAGTTCGATGGGATCCGAGCGTGTTCCATCGCTTTCCGACGGCGAGTGGGGCGAGGGCAGCGACTCGGCACAGGACTATCATCAGGCCAAGTACGTTGGTCCCTATGATTTTAGTTACAACAACAACAACAACACCAATACCAACACTCGCCAACCGCCCGTGGCACAGAAGAAGCATCAATTGTATGGCAAGAGGGATCTGCACAAACATACCCCAACCGGAGCAACGCAGCAGCCACCAGTGGTGCAGCAGCAACAGCAGCAGCAACAACAGCCGCCGCCGCAGGTGCAACAACAGAGCATCAAGTATGAATATGAGGCAGGTGCCGCTGCGGCATTCAGCGTTGGTGAGGCAGCCGCCATGGCGCCCACTCTGACCAAGGATTATCATCAGGCGTATGGCATGAGTGCGGCGAGTGCTTTCACCGCTGACTATGGCATGCCACGCCCCGCGCAGGGCATTGTCAACCTCAATCACACCTATGCGCTGCCCCAAGGAACGGGCGGAACTCTGCCCCAGGGCAGTGGGTCGCTGAGCAGACCACATCCGCGGGACAAGAAGCTAATTGCAGGCAGCAAACATTCATCGAAATCCGGGGAGGAGAATCTCACCGAGGATGAGCATCTGTCGCGGGATGAGAAGCGGGCACGTTCGTTGAACATACCGATTCCGGTGGGCGATATCATCAATCTGCCGATGGATGAGTTCAATGAGCGTCTGTCCAAATATGATCTGAGCGAGAATCAGTTGTCGCTGATCCGTGACATACGGAGACGTGGCAAGAACAAGGTTGCCGCACAGAATTGCCGCAAGCGCAAGCTCGACCAGATCCTGACGCTCGAGGATGAGGTGAATACGGTGGTGAAGCGCAAGTCGCAATTGAATCACGATCGCGATCATCTCGAGGGCGAACGCAAACGCATCTCCAACAAGTTCTCCATGCTGCATCGCCATGTTTTCCAGGTGAGTCCTCAGATTTGATGAGTCTTCTTTCTTTTTGACTTTTTTATTTATGTTTAATCTCAATTTGGATTTCAGTATCTGCGCGATCCCGAAGGCAATCCTTGCTCACCGGCTGATTACAGCTTGCAGCAGGCTGCTGATGGTTCCGTTTACTTGCTGCCACGCGACAAGGTCGACAACGGCACGACAGCAACAGCTGCTGCCAGCGCCGTTTCGGCCAGCAGCAGTAGCGTTAATGGCCAACAACAACAGGCGCCGCAGCAGCAGCAGTCGTCGCTGCACAATCATCAGGGTCATCATCAGGCAGCACAGACAATGCCGTCATTGCAGCAGCAGCAGCAGCAACAACAATCGCGCCTGCCGCCACACTTGCACCAGCAGCAACAGCAGCAAACGGGTCATCATCAACTGTTGCCACAGCAGCAGCAGCAGGCGCCACATCAGCATCAGCATCACAAGGAATGAAAGTATCTGCTGCGAATTGCCGCAACAACGGGTTGGTTGTCGAACTTTCAACAACAACAGCAGCTTCAGCAGCACCAGCAGCAGCAAGAGCAATTGCAGCGGCAACAGCAGCAGCAGCAACAACAACAATTTCAGCAGCAACAGCAAACGTACGATTATCGCTACGATTTGTACAACAACAGTTACCTGTATTACTAAGCCACGTTTGCTGCTGCTTCTGTCTGTTTGGCACATTCTTATAATATTAAGTTGTTGCTTGTCTGTCGCTTGTACGCAATATGTTGCAGGCAACATTTGGTTGCACACAGTTCTGCTGCAAAGCCGTCGTGAGTTCCTGCAATGGAATTCAACTCATTTTTAACTTAGTGCACATCTCTCTTTCTCGTCTCTCTCTTCTCCCCCTCTCTCTTCTGCTCCCCCACTTATGGTTTTACTTAGTCAACAAAGTTTGTTATTTATTTATAAATCCTTTTAAATTCCCTCATTTTTTTATATAATTTTTAAATGCTCCTTTCTTGGCACCCCTTTTCCTGAATGATTATGAAACCCACAGCGAACATTTTAATGCCTTGTGATAAATAATTTGTATAACTTTATGAAATCTACATCATTTTGTTAAAAAAAAAGCAGCTGCTGACAAGCAACAAATTATTGAAAATAAATTTGTAAAACCCTCTAAAAAAAAAAAATTACAAAAAAAATCCTTATACGCACACACACACACACATATATATATATATATACAAAGAAACTATCAACGCGTCGTCCAACAGAAATATGATGCTAAAAAACCATTTACATTTAATTAAGATTAGTTTGTAAATTAAGCAAAAAGTGAGCACATGTATAAATAGCTATTAGACACAAGTTTTGTAAAGGTTGGAAAAAAAAAAATATATATATATTGCTGGACATTTTATAGACTCGCTATTAAGACACACAAAGTAAGAAGTAAACCATACAAAAAACAACACAGCATATTATTTACTAATAATTTAAGGTAAAAAAATAAAAATAAAACAAAAAACTGTAAATACATACAAATTAATTTAGACTACTTAGTGTTTATCATCAATGTAATCCACTCGAGCATTAGGCGAGAGCTAATTGTAAATTTTACTTAAATCGTAAGGAAGAAAGTAAGCAGCAACCACAAAATGAGGTTAATGAACCGATTCGTTCATATACATTAATTAAGTCCAAAACAAAATAGAGAAATATTAATATTTAATATTCTTGCAATATCCTATTGCCTAACAAAATGGTTTAACTACATAGAAACACGAACTTATTTATAAATATTAAAACAGATCAGCTAAGAAGAAAAAAAATACGGAAAGAAAACTATTGTTAAATACACCTAATGCATATATATATATATATACGCATATGTCTACATATATGTATATTTAAATTGTTGCAATTAATTTCGCGCATCTCAAAATAATTATCGCAAAGTGAAAAAACAAAAACCAAGTGCGCAAACAAAATATACAAGCAAAACACAAAAACGCGAAATTATTTGTTGTAAATTGTACTAAATATTTACTTACTATGTCTATAAACATTTACACAAACACACACAACACACATACACTTACATACGTAATGAAATACATTTACATATAATATTAACATAAATTTATATAAAGTAAAGTACTTATGTTCTGAATATTTCAAGCATTTCTTTCATTTAGCGACGCAACAAGTCCAGTAGAAACATTTTAGAAACGCATCGCCAGAGTAGAGCAGCTGATAAGGATTATCTAAGAGTTCCTTAATCGAGATTTCGAGATTACAAATCGTTATACTATAATGCAAACAACTTAATTGATTACTTTTTGACAAACAAATGAAGGAAATATTTGAAGGCCGAACATAAATAAATCTAGTACACACTTGTATAAATGTTTCTATATTCATGTATTTTTATTTAAACGGAGAAACTTGTATGCTTGACAAACGATAACATTTTCCTCACAAAAAAAAAACTAAATAAAAGGAAAGAAACTTAAAAAAGAACCGTATAGACAAGTGTTTTGTTAATTATATTTATTCAAGGCCCTCTTTTTGTTAAACGTCATCATTTTAGGACTTTTGTATAATCACCGGTGGGAAATAGAAAAATGTATAGCATACTTACAGGATGTCCATTAAAATCCATGTTGAAAATTATTGTGATAAAATCAAGAATTTTGAAGCATACTTTTAGGTTGAGTTAAAGCTTGGACAATTAATTTGTTCAGAGAAATACTTCCATTTCCGCCATATCCTTACAGATTATTGTTGATTCACAAGGACACACTCTATGAATTGGTTTTTTGATAACCAAATAGTTGTTTTCAGTCGCTGGGCGAAAATAATCGGACCAAAAACCCAAAATCCTTGAGAGCTCAGAAGCTATTGAGTTAATTTGGGTGTCCTTTAACCGCCTTGTATCCATAATTAGTATGAGTAGTTTGACATATGACTTGCAAGGATACGCGAGAATACTGACGAAATATTACCATTTTTGTATACACAGAAAAGTCGTTTTTCCTGTAAAAGGACTATTTTTATGTGAAAGGTCATCCGGATAGTCCTTAAGATAACTAAGTTATGGATTACATTCTGATTTTGTGCGGTTTTGTCTGACCTACCTCATCGTGTAATATTTGGCCATATGTGACTTTTATAGATCCTTAAGGCTAAAAACACATGTCCTGTGTACAAAAATAGTTCATGATGCGTTAGAACCCCAATCCAAATATTGTGAAAAATTACATTTCGTTCAAGTGTATGTTTAAATATATATTCTCGGTCTTTAATGTTTACAATCTTTATGACACTTATATGTAAATAAAATACATCAATCAAACATTCACTTGCTCATTCCATTTATTGTCCACACATTATATTTGTAACAATTGAAGCTCATTTGTGTTTTCAGCCAGTGTTTGTGGCATATTTAAAAATTTTTTGAATACCTATTCATTTTTACTCTACACAATTAATCATTGAGTATATCAGATGTTGAACAATCATCGTTTAAGGTAGTTAAAAATTCATGTAACATCATGTTTGCACTAAATATCATTTATGAGCTTTACAATTGTCTAAGAGTTAACGAGGAATTTGCAGCATTTTGGTTTCAATATTTTGTGCAATTGCATATCGTTCTTGGTTTTAATATCAATTTTTTAATGTTCATATGTATAATAAATTCATTAAAACTAACACTAACGAATCATCAAATTAAATTTTACAAACTAGAAACGATCCAAGGGATTAGGAATCAATCGATATTGGTATTTTGGGGTGACAAGATAAAGGGGTCTAGGGTTCAGTTTCACAGCTAGTCACAGAGCTGCGTTTTTGAGGCGCCCTCTGCTTTGTTGTTTAAACTATATTCACTTATCCTAATTAGAATTCTACGAGCCTACACTACGAATACAACACATCAGATCGGGGGGCCGACAAGAAAAAATAAACTCATTTGGCCTGGCACAATATAATAATTTTCAGCACATGGAATCGATGGGCAGCTGATCCTGTTTAATGCTCAATCTTCGAGGATTCGATTTTGGGCGAGAGCTGCCATTGCCACCGGTACTGGTAACGGTATTGCTGCTCCCGCTGCCAGAGCCAACGTTGAGGGTGCTGTTGCTGTAGTTGCTGCTATTTATGGAATTACCGGAGTTGGTTCTCTCATTAATACTTGTTAGGTTGGGTATGCTGGGCGCCGTTGTCGTTATAGCGATATTATGACCGCCCATCGTGAACAGTGCACCTGGCTTGCCATGATTGTGGCTGCTGTGTCCGCTGCTATGATTATTGTTATTGTGATTGTGGTTATTGTTATTGTTCAGCGGCTCCAGCTCAGGGGCCAGCACACCGTTCGGTATGGAATGCGAGCGTATTTGCAGACGGCCCGAGTCCAGCGACTCATCGCTCGCCGGATCCAAGTGGTCCACAGAAGCCGCCGATGTTATGCGCTGCAACATGCTGGCCGCCGAAAGCGTACGATCCGCAAACGGAACTGTCCACCACAGAATAAAAATATATTAATTTTTGGAGAATTTAGGTTGGCATTTATTGTCTTACCTATGCCGCTTTTGGCACTCCTCGTGCACTCGGACTTGAGCTCGTCGAGCTGTTTGGCGCTGCAGAGCGGCGTATCGACGTCGTACGTATTGTTGAACAGGGTGTAGTCCACCTCGTACTCGCCCGTCTCCTTGCGAAAGGACACCACGTTGACGAACCGATGGCCCCACAGTATCTCCGATGGCAAATAGCTGCTTCTCGCCTGCGTCGTCATCCCAGTGGACTCGATGACACCCTCTAGTAATGCATAACAATGGGGCATATTAGTCGGGGATCATCAGTAAGAAGTGTTTAGCAGCTACTCACCCAGCATGACAACGACTTCGAAGCGCTCCTTGAGCATGTCGGAGGCGGAGAGCATGAAGAGCGGACTATTCCTATCGATTTTGTGCACTATTGTGGTTGGCCAGATGAACATGAGACGATCCTCGCCACCATCGGCGCCCACGTGCAGCTCCTGCTGATAGAAGGGCAGCACCTCACCCTCCTTGGTCACCTTCTTCCTGATGACCTGGGCCCGCACATGCGCCTCAATGATGTGCGACTTGCGCATATCTCCCACACGGAACATCAGACAAGGGGTTCCATCCCGATGGCAGATCACCGCATTTCTCGAGAAGAGCAGCGTTTGGGCGCGCTTCTTTGGCCGAGAGAGCTTGGCAAACACAATGCCCACCATGAAGGCCTGGATGAAGACACCCGTGATGCACTGTATGCACATGGTGAATATCGCCTCGGGGCATTCGTCAGTCACATAACGATTGCCATAGCCAATCGTTGTCTGCGTCTCCACCGAGTAGAGGAACGCGGACATAATGCCCTTCACCTCCGTCACACAGACCGTGTGGGTCATATTCACAATCAGTTCGGGCTGTGTATCCTGCAGATTGAAGTACTCCAGATCGTTGTGCGCATACGCAATCGTCCACCAAATAAACCCAAAGAACGCCCACGAGATGACGAAGCTGGCGGCGAACACTAGCAGCGTCCAGCGCCACTGTGCGTCCACAAGTGTGGTGAAGATGTCCTGAAATAGCACCTTGTTAGTACGTGTTAGGCTAGACAAATTAGTTGGCTCTCAAAACAGTTCGGGTTCATAAAATACATCGCTAAAGATACATTTCAAGCAACATGCAAATTAGAGCCAAGCGGATGAAGGATAAAGATAATCTGATGAATCCCATTATGCTGTAGATATTCAAGGTAAACTACACTTTTTCGGCTCAAGCTTCAATATTTATTGAATAAAAAGACTTTTGGCAAAGAGTTCATTTTTTAAACTTGAAACTTCTGAGTTCTTTAGCTGGAATTGCTCGATTAGTAACGAGCTGCGCGCCCCTTTTGAGGGGGCATTTGGCTAAATGGAGCGCGGCATATCTAAAATTAAATGTTGCACGCCTTGCATAAGCGGCACATGTTTGCCGCATTTGCAGAGATGTCTCTCGTTTGATATATATACATATATAGCTGCTTACCTGCAGATAGCGACGACGCCTCTTTGCCACGTTGCCTTGCACCACGTTGCACTCGCCATGCTTGAAGACGACACGTTTCCGCACACGACGCGAGCTGAACCGCGTCTGCCGATACCTACTCGAAGAGAGCGAAGCGCGCGTGGAAAAGAGAACCAAATTGAAGAGAGTCAATTATTTTACACAGTTGAGAAACAAACAAAAAAAAAAAAAAACAAAAAGCACTCATAAATAAGAAGAAGTGCTCAGACTTAGATTATTTCTAATTTTAAGTGGACACATCAAGTTCTTCAAACATTTCATTTGTTTACAATTTTGTCTCTTTTCGCAAACATATTCTTATCAATAATAACTGACAACTGATAACTGATAACTGATAACCTACTAACGATATGCACGATATGCACTCATTCTAACATCATCTGCATTTTTACATTGATTTAACTCTATTATTTAATAATCTCTGCTAGCCTTGAAATATACATTTCTTGCTGAAGCGTGTCGTAAATAAAAGCTTGGAAAACCAATTGAAGTAGTCTATAAATATAATTGTTTTCAGTTAAAAACAGATGGCTACATCTAAAGCAGAAATTGCTGCACAAACAGGAAGCTTGGATATCAACATTAATATGTATTTGCAGTTTATTATTAAGCAACAAGAGGCAACAAAAGGGGTCCAAGAGCAAAGTGTTATCTCCATTAAACATTGCAGTATTCAGTCTTCTTCTTCTACTATGTAAATTACCAGTTTAAAGTCTGAATTGAAATGCTGGTGAAGCACAAGACAAACACGAAGCCGACAAGAAATAGCATTAAGAGTCGAAATTTGTCAAATCGAGTCGAACGAACATTAGAAGGAAGAAGCACAGTCCGAAAATTACTTAGGCACTTGTCTGACTAACATCACTTTGTAAAATAATATACAACTGATAATAATAATAATAATAATAAAAAGCAATATTAATTCGGCGTTTTCTGCGCTTTGTCCTGCACTGAGCAACTTAATACAAAATGATAGCTTTTAAGCTCGCACAATCACGGATCAAGAGTCAAAATGGCACTGCGAGGAAGATTTAATTTGCAGGCCGGTTAAAGTCGCGCTCATCAACTTTACTGTAATCACAATGTGTAACTGCAAATTGTCACATTTCTCATATATATTTTAAAGCAACAACAACAACAGCAACAGCTAATATTTGTTGTTGTTGTTATTGTTATTGCAGTTTAATTTTTCTTCGCCATTCCATTGTGTATTCACGCATTATCAGCGTGCCGTGCTCTGTTCCCTTCAGTCTCTTATTCTGCCGACATATGCAAAAGTCCCCACTCAAAGCTCACACTATTTGCACTCACTCTTGAGTTAGAACACAAAGCTTGCTCAAATCACAGAGAGCACACGCTCAAGAGAGGCGCTCTCAAAAGCGAAGCCGAAATTCAGCCGATCAGTGGTACTATCTCTTTCATGCTTTCACTTTCGTTGAGTAGAAGAATAAAGCTCAAGCTACTTAACACTAAATCGGTATTATAATTGAGCTCTTATAATTTATAGGAACCTGCCTAAGCAACTTCTATTTCCCGATTGCTTGTTTGAGTACGATGCAAAAAAGAATTCGGAGATATTCCCATAAAATTTGCTAAATAAACCGGTTGCTAAAGAAACGTTTCTTCGTATTCTGCCAATTGCAGCTTCATTCTACTTATCGCAACGATAAATTGTCTGACTAAACTGACAGAGCGGCCCCGTAGATCATTATGCGGTTGTCAACTGGGAATCGAACAAGTTCACTGAAATGCCACAGAGACATTGAGAAAGTTTATGAGGAATGTATTCAATGTATATGTTGAATGAAAGAAATGCTAGATAACAAAGAACTAAGTTAACAATGATTGAGAATAAAAATGTGTATTGTACAAACTCATCGTTGCTTCAGTCAGTCAGTCAGTCAGATAAGTAAAGTTTGCTAACAGCTAGCAATTAAAAGTTTTTTGGCGGCCAGATAAAAAACAATAGCACAAAAGAGAAAAATAATACAATGAATTATAAAACTGACCTTGGACAGTGTGCGTAAGTTGCGGCTAATCGGTAAAATGCACTCTTCAAAAGTTATTGACCGATAGCCAAAAAATTATAAATTACACTGCAGTAAAAAGTATTCTGGCCACAAAATGTTGACCGAGGTCGTGATTTTCGATCGAGACGAACACACAAAATCAGACGATTGACGTCATTTTCAGCCATTGGCCAAAATGATTTTCACTTTAACACGAGAAGAGCACCCATATTGAGTTTAATATATATATATTTATGTATATATATAAGCCTCCAATATATATATATATTAAAGGGATGCTTATTATATAAATAGTGCAGCCAACTCAATGGAAAGTGCAGTCACAACAATAGTTGATATATTTTATAAATAAAGTGTTCACTGGTTATTTGGTACACTCGATATAGAAGAAAATCTCAACTGCATTTCTGCCTAAGATACAAGTCTTTTATTCGAGAGATTGCTTTTCATTTTATGACTGTAATTAATTTTACTATTAATATAGAATATACATATAATATTATAGAGAAATATTCATTTTCCCAAGCGACTGCACTGTTTAAAGCTGTGCCAAAAATTCAAATGGCAAATGTCGTCAAAAAAGATATTTAATAAAATGCATTAATATGCAACGAATAACTATGAATATCTTTATAATATATGAGTAGAGCTGTCACATGCAAATTTGCTAACCTTTGATCATTATTCAGGTGGACTAAATGTTAATGTTTGTTTAGGTGTTGAAAAGCAGATGTTTTCCAGTGATACGTGGATTCGTATTCATTTATATTTATAGCTGTAGCCAGTAAACAGTTCTGCATGCAAATATTTGTGGCGGCAGTCAATTAAACAACGCGTTAATTAAATGTACATAGCATCGATCCAGACAGATATATAGTGGATATAAACATATATAACTAACTTATTCAATGCTCACATCCTGAACACTTGTTTAAAGAAAATGTATTTTCCATCGATTGGCAATTCTTGGAAATCGATAGGCGATAACAATTACCTCAGCAGCTCCTCGCGCCAGGACTGTTCACTGGAATGCGTTGCTCGATAAACGATCATCGATAAACGACTGAAACTTCGTCGTAGATCCGACATCTTAAACCAATTGTTTTTTATACGTGAATCACTGTGAACCACTTCAGTCACACTTTCTGTACAATTAAGGAATACTCGTCGAGTGCAAATACTGTTTTAGTTATTTGTTGTTATTGAGATGTTGTTATTATTGTGGCTTTTCTTTACACTTTCAACTCAACTGAAATGTATTTGTTGTATCTTGTTCTAGTTTGTCATTGTGATAAAAATAAAACAGAGACAATGCTTCTGCAACAGGCGACAGCGAGCCGAGTAGCCCCAGCCCAAGAGCTCATTTAACTCATTACTGATCATTTTTGCTGCAACACACACACTTTTTATCACACTATTAACTATGATCAGGGCTCGACACAGCTGTGTGATCAGCTTGGCAAAGCTTCAATCTTCAATCAATAGGGCTATTTCTGTGTTGTGTTTATTCGAATGTGAACCGAGCGATCGAGCAACATTTTACCAACTGCCTGGCGGCAGAAAGGCAGGCAAATTGCAAAGCAAATACAAATTTAATCTATGTGGGTACTACGACCAGCACTCCCACCCCCAGGCCCACATACATATAAATATATATGTATATATATCCACATCAGATATCTCTCTCTGACACACACTCATTCACTCACTCACGCAGGCAAATAAGAAGCATTCAATTCTCAGTATACAACAGAAAACAGTTCGTCGTTGTTGCCACCTAATTACACATAAGACATGTCTGTTTGTCGATCGGCCTATTAGACGAGTCTATATCTAATTTGCAGTTATCAGCAATGAGTTGGCCAGCCATAAAAGAGTGTGCTGATATCGGTGATATCTTTTTTATTCATGCATTTCTAATAGTCAAATCATTACTTCATACTTCATATAAACTAGAAACGCGTTTTGCTAATTGTGTTAAAGAGTTCGAATCGTGGAAATAACTTCGGCAAAAGAATTTAAAAATTATTTATTTATAAGGCTACAAATATTTTTTAATTAACATGCTGTGAAAGTAAATAACTAATATAAAATATACATGATTTGCAAGAGTCAAAAATGTTATTAGAAATTATGAGTTATTATTATTTAACTCTTATTTAGTTTCTTTTTTTTTTAAATTTATTGAAAATTTATATATAATTATGCTTAGCTGATATAGTAAACTTATCTCCAGAAGTGAGGGTCTGTATAAAGGTATACATGAATACATATATGCTATATAGTTGTCACCTCTCTCTCAAATGAACTGGCCGTGAACTTTTCCCACGTCGATCCCCATTTAAAAACGTAAATTTACATAATAATCATAATGAAAACATATGTATATAAATATTTTGCCATATGCGTATATATATATATATAGAAATGTGCAAATGTTTTGGTATGCTTTTGTCAAGTCTACTTTGAAACGCAGAAAAATTGCCATACCCGCCAAAGGTCCATGCATATAGAATATATATATGGATGTGCATATATGTATATATGTATAAATATTTTGATATCATGTATTCCGCTTTACACTCGAACCGGTTTATGCCGGTCGCCATCTATGAGATTTTTGGTCTTAGATCGATTCAAAATAACTCAGTTGGCCGCACTCATAAAAGAGGCCAGCTCTTTGTGTCCTGATCGATCTGTTATATGCTATTTTATTTTTTAAATATTTTTATATCTGAAGGGCTGAAGTTGAATAAACTTGTGTGTGAGAATGTTTTCACAATCTTTTGGGCTCACAGTGATTATTAACCATTAATATAATGCATATTCACACGCATAGAAAAAATATATTTAAATCAAATCCAATCGAAAATCCTGAACCCCTGCTATGTATAATTTTGTGTTGTGAAAGCAGCGTCTTTTTCCGAGTTGTTAGTTTTATTAAATTAGACCTCTATAAAATAAAGTAATCATTCAAAGGCGCCGCTGACCTGCTTTGGACCCTGTCCGAAGTTAAGTGTTCTTCCCCAATCGACTGGCACTCTTA